TGACTACAAAGGATGCTGTTTAAACGGGAGACATGTAAAGTGTGTGCTATATGGGATACAATTACATTTCCAGCTCAGAAGAGGAAGTCAGATGTACTCAGAAGGAGTTATTTCATCAACTTGTTCTTTCAGTATAGAAATTATTTCACAATGGTCACGTACGCAGAAATGCAACAACTTTTTTTTTTGGAGGGGGGGAGAATGCAAGGAGGCCCTAATCAATTTAACAGGTAGTCCTCAACATGGGATCCCATTAACCACCTCCAGTGCTGGCAACAGTAGTCACGGCTCATCTGAGTAAGTCCATGAGTTACAGTTCCGGTGCAAACAGCCTGTATGTGCATATTTCACATGTTTTTTATGACACTTGAATCAGCTTTACATTGCATACCTCTTCTGACTGCAACAAATTTGTCTTACACAAACATGAGAAAAGAGCCAGGCCCGTACAGCATTGTTCTTAATTAACCTCCCTGATGCAAACACAGAGGAGGTACTTCCATACAATGTCATTAGGCCATAACCAATGTTAAGATAGCCTGTCATGATTTAGCCCCAGCCAGCCACCAAGCCCCATACAGCTGCTTTCTCACTCCCCCACCAGCAGGACTGGGAAGAGAGTCAGAAGGGTAAAAGTCAAAAAACTGACAGGTTAAGATAAAGACAGGTTAATAGTGAAAGCAAAAGCCACACAAGCAAGCAAAGCAAAACACGGAATTAATTCACTGCTTCCCATGAGCAGGCAGGTGTTCAGCCCTTTCCAGGAGGGAAGAGCTCCATCACACGAAGCAGTGACTCAGGAGGACAAATGCCACTCCAAACATTCCCTCTTTCTCTTTCTCCCCCCCCCATTATATACTGAGCATGATGTCATATGGTCTGGAATATTTGGTCAGTTGCAGTCACCTCTCCCAGCTGTGTCTCCTTCTAATTTCCCATACACCTCCAGTCTCCTCACCAGTACACTCCTGTGGCAGTCCAAAAAGGAGAAAAGGCCTTGGCTCTGTGTAATCACTGCTCAGAAATAACAGAGGCATCTCTATGTTATCAACACTGTGTTGAGCACAAATCCAAAACACAGCCACTGTGGAGAAAATTAACCTATCCCAGCCAAAACCAGCACACAGACAAAAAATGTGCTGTTCCAAACCTCATCTAAATTACGAATGGAAAACCAAAGCAAATGAATCTGATCTACAGTATTAAGAACAGGTTCAACAGACCAACCACCATTAGCACAATTTGCCTTTAGAAATAGGAAGGAAATTTCATATAAAGAATAAGGAAAAACAATGGAGTTATAGGATATTACACGTTGTTCTGGAATTTTGGGGGTTTTTTCTATTGTAAATTAAATATCTTACATGTCTAGAAACCACTCACTTTGATGGAAACCACTATAAATTGACTATTTTTCCAAAATCAAACTATCTAATTTGCTTATATGCATATATGTACAAATTTCTGTCCTTTAAAAATATTAAAATTATATTAGCCAAATTGAGTCCTATTTTTGCCCCCTAGTTTTGCATTTAGCTGTTTCTGGACATTACAGGTTTTTGTACATTCCCCATAAAGATTTAAACTATGTTTTTCACTATACCACACATAAAGATCCTTCATGCTAAGTGTCTGAGGAAAAAAACCTCCCTCAATCCAGTTTCAGTGCAGTTTTCCAGATCTATCACTTTTCAACTCTATTTCTGTAGCTACAGCATCTGAATAAAAGAAGTTAAAGGTAACATCAGCAAACAATGCTGTTCACTTCAAAGTTCAAAAGAATTAAAATTGCACTGATTCCTGAAATCAAAGAGGTGAATTCACAGGTAAATCCTAAGGCATCACTTCAGCTAGGTAACCCGACATGTCAATTAAATGCAAGAATAATTTATTGAATTCTCCGTCTAGTCTGACACAAAACCTATACTTCCCGATTCCCGAAGCCAAAGTACTTGTCTTCTTTCATGCAGATAATTTCATAACCATTAGTGTAAAGCATTAACACATTTTTCTTTCAATCATATTTTCCTCCTGTTGACTGACACACCTTTTCTAGAGAGTGTACTTGTGCCAGTTTCAGCTTTGTGGGAACTTGCCTGAAGGTCTTTGGTATAGTTCCCTCCCATACACATAAAACAATGATATATAATCACGATGTTACCTATGTGAAGAGACATATGTCTTACCTTAGAAAATATAAATGGAAAATTATGCACTGGAGGAATGTAACCATTTCCATTTGTGGATGTTTATGAAGTTTAATTGAATAGTACATAACATATGGTAGAATGCAGTGTGATTAACTCCTTGGAAATGTGTTCAGGTGGTGCTTCTCTATAAATAATTTAAAGGTTTCTTTGACAGGGCAAACTTCTTACAGAATGCCTAATAATTGTGGGAAAATTAATCAAATAAAGAAATTCCTTTTGTGTACACAAAAAACTTTAAATATATACTGGGTCTGGCATGTATGTATGTGGTATGTAGACATATACAGTAAACCATACTCAGTATTTGTTTCTTAGTTCTATTTTTACTTATTATTTAGAAATGTTTTTTGAAATATGATTACGAGACTTTACAAATAAAGCTGGTTGAAAAATGCATGAAAACGTTATGAAACATTCACCACATGAAAATATTAAAAGTTTCAGCTAACTTTCAAATATTTTCTAGTCTTTCATTGGATCTCAGCTGGTTTTCCTTCACAGTGATCAGAACTGACTATATGCTGCAGAGGTGTAAGGAAGTGGAGGTACAAGGTCAGAGATCTTCTTAAACTCTCCTAAACTCTCTGGGGGAAAAGCACAGCCAAAAATACCCAGCAAAAAGAAAATCAGCTTCCTTGTATGAAATGTTTGTACTGTTCAACTTGATTCACATAGCTTAGGAACAAGCTATCTACTTAATTTTCATGTGCAGAGCCATTTCCTAGGGCTTTGTATGCCATCTGTCTTTTAGGGGGAAGTTTAGAATTCTTCTCATTCCCCACTCCCTGTGGAGTGGCTCCTGATGCATGACAGAAGCAAGTCTGAACCATGCAGTCTCATGCACTGCACAATCAGAGCATAAAATACTTGTCACTTGAATCACAAATGCAACTTAGAATGTGATGGTACATCCCTCTAGGGAGAGGTTTCCAGCCCTGTCTGCTCCAGCAATGCACTGGTAGGCTTGACAGCATCATCTGCACCATGAGGATGCTGCAAGGATTTGCTTCACTCCTTTGCATAAGGCAACTTGTGGCACCATGCAGGCAGTAACTAACTGCAGGTTTTACTGACATGAATTAGCCAGAGACTTATACTAGCCTGCTAGCATCTTGGGCAGGCTTTGTAGCCAGTGTTGGTCCCCAAGCTGCTGAGACTGCCATGTTACCAGGGCAAGATAAGGATGTCTACACAAGATGAACTGACAACAGCTTAACACAAAGCTGGTCCATCGTAGGTGTCTTCATATACAGAAGCTCCTCCAGTTTATCTTAAGATCAGTGCAATTAAACTGGTACAAGCCAGTTTAATTAAACCAGATGCTCTCATGTGGGCTCAACAGAAAGTATTGGTTAGCTTGCATCTGAATGCTTGCCAATGCAAGCTAAGATACTTTTGAGAAGTTTAAACCCACATATGTGTTCCTTTTCAAATTTGCTCTAGCTTAGCTAACCTATCACTAAAATGACAACTTCAGTCAAACTAGAACGAGTTTCACTAGGCTAATTATTTAGACACTTTTAGAAATATTAATCTCTTTTACTAATCAGCTTGGTTTGCTGATTTTGGTGATGTGACTAGTCTGCCCTATCTTTGATTATAAAATGCTATTTTGGCAACCCACGTACCAAGGACTAATAAGGCTGTGGTGGATGCCTGCTTAATACATTACAAAGAATACTAAGGCACAAGTTCCTTAATCAAGGCTCTAAGACAATTAAAATCCATTGAGCCTGTGTATGTTTTCAGCTCCTAATTCTGCTGCCCACTGGCCTTTGCTATGACCTGACCTGCATGAAGCTGGTGTGAAAACAGAAGTTATTTTGCACTGCCAGTTGCAAAAAAAGGGGAGCTCAGGTACTGTTGCAGTGTTGACTTGCCATGTTTCCCCTGAATTTCACAACTGTGCAGGAAAACCCCAGCAGATTACTTATTCTATTACACCAAAAGTGCACCATTGTCCCCTAAGACTTTTAGCTGTTGTGTTTTTACATGCTGTTCTACCTCTCACACTAATGAAAGAAATTAGATCAAAACTAACATTGTGCAACACAAGAAATAAATCCCAGACAGTTTAGAGTTTCTCATTAGTGTATTTTTAAGTATTTCAAAGAATTTTCAGTGCAATGCAGTGCTCAAATAGGCAGCCTCTTCCTCTCATTTTGGTAGCCACCATCAATAACTGCCATGCAACCTACATATCTTTGGAGGTTCTGGTAAAATACAAGAATAAAGAAAGGTAATGCAGAAAGAGCTATTTTTAGTAACATAGCTTATTGACAAAGATTACATTATCCCTTAGAAGTGATATAATTTTTCTGTTCACAACTAAGAGTCTTTCAAGATATTTTTATTTTTCAATGAAGAAAGAAAAGGGTACTTGAACACTGATTATCATTCTAGGATGGTAAATCAAGAGGTATTCTAACCAGAAATCATCAAGTAATGCACACATGCTCTAAAACAATAAAATGCACTTGAAAAAAGAGTGACTTCAGCTCACAGAAGGAAAAAAAAGTAGCATTGGAAAAAGATTTGCAGAGAACAAAATTCTGAGTACTGTTACACAGACATAAATAGGAGTTTTGTGGGTTCTTACAAAAGTTTTCTGTACTTCTGTTCTGCTTTTTTTCTCATCTACCCTCAAAAAGCTTGCATAGAGGCATGCAATTTTTTTATCAAAATGTATTGCTTCCACCAATATCAAAATGTGTTTGTTCCTAGAACTATTCATCCTGAGAGATGACAAACCGCTCATACTACTCCTTAATTAAATAAAGTGTTAATTACCATTATTAAAGGAATCCTTGTTGTTTTTGCAGGAAAGAGACACATGCTGGTAAGGATCAGTGGATTTCCACAGTGCACTGGTTAATGCTGGCTGACAAGAAGTGTCCATTTTGACGTCCGCCTGATTTTCACTAGTCCTTGCTACATCAGAATTTGAGGTATTCAGCCCAAACACACCATCTTCATAAACGAGAGAAGAATCTGATCTGTCGAGACTCCTTAAAGACACACATACTACAGCTTCATTGAAGTAGAATTCATTTTCACCATTTAAGCTGTCCAATTGATTACGTCCCATTATCTGCAGAAGGGGGAAAAAAGAATAAAAATAAACAAAACAGAGAACAGCATTTTCACCTTTGCTGAGCAACAGAATCATAGAATCACAGAATATCTCAAGTTGGAAGAGACTCATAAAGATCATAAGGTCCAAATCCCTGCTCCTCACTACCTGAAACTAAAGCGTATGACTGTGACTATCATCCTGAAGAATCCTTATACCAAGATACATAAAAGTAACTGCCACACAGAATGAGAATTCATAGCAAATAGTCACCTAATTTGCCAGACGTTAACCTCAAACGTGATAAATTTGATGTGTGTTCAGGAATAAACAGTAATAACCTAGCAGATCTTACCTTAGCTCACCTCAAAACAAGTAATAATTGCAAAATAACAGATAATGAAGGACTGCTACTGCTGCTGTGATGCACTGAGCTCTGACAACTACTCTCAGAGGGTTAATATTTTGCCTCACGGATGAACAAGGTACCACTTCACATATGTAAATCTGGGTACTCTGCAATCCAAAAATAACACTGTGCCTCACATAGACAGGTAATCACAGAGAACTGGACAGCAGCAGTCAACCTAGGGATGGTAAACAGCTTTCAGCAAGCAAGCCACGGCTCCCAGGGGCCGAAAATGCAAATTCTGTAGACCTTCTGCCTGTAGGTGTTTGTTAAGGCCAAGATCACAAAAAAAGCAGGAGTAGCAGTGTGAGTTACTGCAACATTCGGTCACCCAAACTATCTAGGTTCAGTATCATAAAAAAACAGTGGGCTGGCAATACTGGCTGACTGGCAACCACTCAGCTATCTCTGCTGCAGCAAGGAGTATGGTAGTGGAAAACACAGGCCAAAGACAACCTCAAGAAACAGCTACAAAGCCACACAGTCTACTTGAAATAAAAATACAACTAGTCTTACAAATTAAATACTAGATTACAGGAACTACCACTGTCTGACACTCAGCATTTAATAATTTTGCCTCTCTGTTTGTGCAATCCTGCATCAAGCAATCAAGTTTCAGCTTCCTCTCCTCAAAAGATTGTAGAAATCACATCCTTTAAAGCTGATGGGCAAGTTCAGTTTTGCTTTCATAACCACTTCTTAAGCACTGCCAAACAAGTCAAAATGGTACCACACGCTACACTACTAAAAAGGTACTTAACACCTACTTTGCCTCAGTTTTTAGCAGTAAGACAGGTGGTCCTCAGGACAACTGGCCTCTAGAGCAGATAGACAGAGACAGAGAGCTGAATAGCCCTCCTGTATTCCAGGAGGATGTAGTTAGCGACTTACTGAGCCAGCTGGATCCTAACAAGTCTATGGGACCAGACGGGATCCATCCCAGGGTGATGAGGGAGCTGGCAGAAGAGCTTGCCAAACCGCTCTCCATCATCTTCCAACAGTCCTGGCTCTCTGGGAAGGTCCCAGATGATTGGAGGTTGGTGAATGTCACCCCAATCCACAAAAAGGGCTGCAAGCAGGACCCTGGCAACTACAGGCCTGTCAGCCTGACCTTGGTGCCTGGCAGGGTTATGGAGCAGATCATCCTGAGTGCAATCACACAGCACCTTCAGGATGGACAAGGGATTGGACCCAGCCAGCATGGGTTTAGGAGGGGCAGGTCCTGTCTGACCAACTTGATCTTTTTTTACGATCAGGTGACCCACCTGGTGGATGAGGGGAAAGCTGTGGATGTGTCTACCTGGACTTCAGCAAGGCCTTTGACACTGTCTCCCATAATATACTCCTGGAAAAGCTGGGAGCCCATGGCTTGGACAAGCGTATCCTCTCCTGGATTAGGAGCTGGCTGGAGGGTCGGGCCCAGAGAGTGCTGGTGAATGGAGCTGCATCCAGCTGGCGGCTGGTCACTAGTGGTGTCCCCCAGGGATCTGTGTTGGGCCCAGTTCTGTTTAATATCTTTATTGATGATTTAGATGAGGGGATTGAGTCCATCATCAGCAAATTTGCTGATGACACCAAATTGGGAGGGAGTGTCGACCTGCTGGAAGGCAGGAGGGCTCTGCAGAGGGATCTGGATAGACTTGAGAGATGGGCTGATTCCAATGGGATGAAGTTCAATAAAGCCAAGTGCCGGGTCCTGCACTTTGGCCACAACAACCCCAAGCAGCACTACAGGCTGGGCACAGAGTGGCTGGAAAGCAGCCAGGCATAAAGGGACCTGGGGGTACTAATTGACAGGAAGCTCAACGTGAGCCAACAGTGTGCCCAGGTGGCCAAGAAGGCCAATGGGATCTTGTCCTGTATCAAAAATAGCATGGCCAGTAGGACCAGGGAAGTGATCCTTCCCCTGTACTCTGCGTTGGTGAGGCCACACCTTGAGTATTGTGTTCAGCTCTGGGCCCCTCAGTTCAGGAAGGATATTGAGGTGCTGGAGCGGGTCCAGAGAAGAGCAACGAGGCTGGTGAAGGGACTTGAGCACAAGTCCTATGGGGAGAGGCTGAGGGAGCTGGGGTTGTTTAGCCTGGAGAAGAGGAGGCTCAGAGGTGACCTCATCACCGTCTATAACTACCTGAAGGGAAGTTCTAGCCAGGTGGGGGTTGGTCTCTTCTCTCAGGCACTCAGCAATAGGACAAGGGGGCACGGGCTTAAGCTCTACCAGGGGAAATTTAAGTTGGATATCAGGGGAAAATTCTTTACAGAGAGAGTAATCAGGCATTGGAATGGGCTGCCCAGAGAGGTGGTGGATTCACCATCCCTGGAGATTTTTAAATGCAGATTGGACGTGGCACTGAGTGCCATGATCTAGTAAATGGACTGGATTTGGACCAAGGGTTGGACTCGATGATCTCGGAGGTCTTTACCAACCCAATCGATTCTATGATTCTATGATTCTATGATTCAAAAGTGTCTTTGCTGTTTGGCCTGGCAAGCATATATATGGCTAAGTCATGTTCACAGGGTGTTCACAGAGGCTGGATGAAAAGGGGGAGGTCAGAGGCCAATCCTTCAACCCTCATGCAGACACAGGCTTAGACACCAAATGGTCTCTGCCTGTTATGGGTGCCAGCTGAAAAACTATGGAGGTGATGGCCTGAAGAAAGGCTCTACAGATTTTCTTGTGAAAACGTGAACATGAGGGGGAAAAAGAAGCTGTTTGGGTCAGTGAGCTTTCAGTATATGCAAAAGTCAGACAAAATGTTTTGAATTTCAAGTGCTTTAGAGATCAGTAATGGAAACCAAGACTGTACCCATTGAGGAGGGGATTAGAGGTGAGGTCCCACCTGGCAGGTGAGCACCAAGACAGCTGCCTTCAGAGCCAGACTGTACCCTTCACCTTCAACAAAAACTTCATTGTTTTTAGTGTTAAACTCTCAAGCAGCTTCAGAGCTACTTTAAATTGCACCCCCTAATAATGACCATCTCCAAGGATTTATGCTGTCAGGGATGGAGCCACATACCAACCTCTTCCCCTGAGGGGCTGCTTGTTTCAGGGGAACAGGACAGCAGGGCCTGACACATGGGGGTCACAAGAGCTTGGTGTTTGCTACTCCTGGAGGTGCCCCTTTTCTTCACTAGAGACAGTGCTGTGGTCCAGGAACAAGGACAACAATCAAAAACTTCACTAAAAGCCATATATGCCTAAGCATTATAACATTTTAGCTTTCCTACAAGATACAGAGACACAATGTATCTTGAAAACACAGTAGCAAAACAGAATAAAGCACAGATTCTCATATTTCCTTTGCCTCAATTTAAGGAACATCAGCCTTGGTTTTTGTAGGGCATCCAGCTTAAAATCACAGAACAGTTTGGGTTGGAAGGGATCTCTGAAGGTCATCTAGTCCAGTCCCTCTGCTCAGGCAGGGCCAGTTGCCCAGGACAGTGTCCAGGCAGCTTTTGAGTATCTCCAATGATAAAGAGTCTACAATCCCCCTGTGCAATCTGTGCCAGGGATCAGTTACCCTCAAAGGAAAAAAGTGTTTCCTGATGTTCAAAAGGAACCTTCTGGGTTTCTGTTTGTGCCCATTGTCACTGGGCACCACTGGAAAGAACCTGGCTCCATCTTCTTTAGACCCTCCATTTAGGTATTTATATAGATGAATAAGAACCCCCAATAACAAGAATCATTTCTTCTCCAGGCTGAACAGTCTCAGCCTTTCCTCACTGAAGAGATGGCCCAAACATCTTTGTGGCACTTCACTGGACATCCATCACACCTTCTCTCCCACCTCCACCCCCCTCTCCACCCCATAGCTCTTTCTGGTACTGGGGAGCCAGACTGAACATAGTAGTTCAGGTGGCCAGAGAAGAGAAGAAGGATCCACTCACTTGACTTACTAGCAATACTTTGTCTAATGCAGCCCTGAAGACCATTTGCCACCTTTATAGCAAGGTCATGTTGCTTGCTCACGTTAAACATGGACCCCCAGGATCCACATGTCCTTTTCACAGAATCAAAGAAGCATTAAGGCTGGAAAAGACCTCCAAGATCATCGAGTCCAACCTTTGACCAAACATCACCATGTGGTCAATTAAACCATAGCACAAAGTGCCATGTTTCCTGAACAATTCCAGGGATGGTGACTCCACCACCTCCTTGGGCAGCCTGTTCCAATGCCTGACCACCCTTTCAGTGAAGAAATTCTTCCTAATCTTGAGGCCATTTCCTCTTTCCTGTCACTAGCTGCCTGGGAGAGATGCCAAACCTTCACCTTGCTACAACTTCCCTGCAGGTAGTTGTAGAGGGTCAAGCCGATTTCCAGTTGGAGTAGATCTACTGTGCCTGGGGTTGCTCCTTCCCAGGGGCAGGACTTTGCACTTTCCCTGGTTAAACTTCATGAGATTCAAAGAAAATCCTTGGATATGCCTGAATCTCCAGTTTCCCACATGCTCACTTGTTACATTAACAACCAACGAAACCCAAGACGTACTGGCCTATTTATCAAGGCAAGTCTATAAGTCTGCAATCAGGCTTACAATTACAGTTGGGAACCACACACCTCATTGACCACTCTGGATGAAAACAGGTTGCTTTGCTGACCATGCTTCCAGTGCCATAAGAGTTTCTTCTGCATTTTCACATTGTCTCTTTCTCTCTCCACCATCTTCTGGCCCTCCTGGAGCCTCTCCAGGCTCTGCTGGTACTCCTGAAGCTGCAGTGCCAGTCTCTGTTGGCTCCTTTCCAGCAGCTCCTCCTTGCACCCACACTCTTGCTCCCGCTGCCCCAGACGGGCCTCCTGTGCCTCCCACTCCCGTTGCCGCTGGTCGCATTCACGCAGCCATCGCTGCTGCTCTTGCTGAAACTGCTGCTTCAATTTGTGTATGTTGGCCAGTTCCACCCTTTGCTTTTCCAGATTCTGATATTTTTCTTGCTCCAAAAGGATGTTTAGCCGAGAACCATGGCCCCGACCAGTCTTCTCATTCTCTTGCAGGAGTAACCTATGGAGCTCTCTGTGGCTGTCCTGGATAGCCAGTGCTGCCTAGATCCCACAATCAAATCAGACACAAATGTTTAAATATCAGCATTAATCCATTGCTGTGTTTTTACATAGAATCATTATATAAAATGCTTTAACCTCTTGTAATACCAGTGCTTAATACTTTTTGGGGGGTAATTCCTCAAGCAAGCACAAAATATTCTGTAATCATGCCTTTACAAAGAGCTATTTCTAGCTCAACTGTTTTGAGTATTTTTAACATGGTTCTGGTTTACACTTAGTATTACTACACATGTTTATATTACAGCTGTGGATATGCACTTCAGTTACAGCTGGGGTCCTGTTCTGTTAGAGGATATTAAAACACATAGAAAAAATGATTTTTCATGGGTAAAGAGAGCATTAAGGCATTGGGAATACTATACTCACCCAAGTATTCCTAATGTGGCTTATACACATAAAACCATACTATTTCCAGCACAGCTCACTCCAACCCCAAAGCTCTCCTTTCTAACCTGCAGCACCACAATCTAATTAACATCAGTCCTACAGGCAGCTGCCAACAGAGCCATGTCACCAGGACCATACCACTACACACACCTGATCAAGGTATCAGTACAAGCATAATCTGCTGTATAGGAGTAATTTCAAATCTGAAGTTTCTATTTCACAGTCGAGGGCTCTATGTTCCATCCTTCACAAGAATGTTGTGACATTATTTGCATTAAAGATTGTGACACCCTCCAATAACACAAAAATAAATAGCTAGGATTAAGAAGAAAGAAAAGCAAGAAAGCCCTAGATCTGCTGAAGCACTTATTGCACCGCCTATCTTCAAGAGCTGGCATGGGAATCTATTTCAGCAGATATTCCCAGAGAATTCACACACCCCCATTGCCCCATGCTGTTCACCCCAGAAAGTTTTTAACTTTGTGCAATGTACAATCCACACTTTCTTTGGCTCTCCCTCCAGTATTAGGTCAGTTCCAGTGATTTGCAAACAGGGCAAGGACAGGATCCTCTGCTTGTTTCTCTGCACCTTACTGCCAGTTCATGGTCTGAACAATCAAGGCACGAACCCAAGCCTTATTTTATTATCCCTGTTTCTCAGTTATTCAAAAATTTTGCCAGAATTACAAGCTTTTCATTTGGCTTTTGCATTGCTTCAATCCACTTAAATTCTAAGCCCAAGGTTTCCAGAATTATTATGAAATATGCTAATGTCAATAGGGTCTAAAAATTAAAGCATGTTCAAATTAAACATTTAAAAATAAAATTATAAAAACTGCATCTAAATAAGAAAAAGTAAGTTAAAACATTCAAAGTTAGCATAAAAGAGGAAAACACTTCAGACTAAGGACCTACAGAATATACAAAGTATTTAATTGAGATTGAAATATCTAAAATGTGTTGAGTTTCCTATCTAAGTGGCAGAGCCTCTGTTTACTACTAGCCAGAAGAACACTCAAAAGAAAATACTAAAATTTTTCAATATTTTGTACTATAATTTCAGAAATCTGTATGTGAAATGACATCAGTTCAATTAGGGCCATCATTTTATTTTCCTGCTAGATTTTTAGACTGTATAAACATCCTTTTCTGGGAGGGAGGCCTGATCTTCAAGCAAGTAAGCACTATTCAGTTCTTAACAGAAACCTACCACTGATGTAGACTAAAAATATATTCTATGACAACTTATGCAACAATCAGTAGAGATTAGTATGCAGCGACGTAATGTCTAAAAGTAGGGTGACGTGAAAACAAATCTTAAGAAGTAAATTATTAAGACTAATTACTCTATAAAGTTAACAATGGAATAGTCACCTGTATGCTGTACAAGAGACAGGTTAAGTTCTGGATTGCTTGTACAATCTAGAAAATAAAAGAGAAAGATTTTCAAAGCTTTGACCACTGTGAACTATATAGTTAATACATTGTGTCAGGTTTAAATAAACTCACTTCTGTGCCTGTATATCCTCTGAAATTCATACTTCCTTCCTAAAATAAAAATATGTTGCTTTAAAAAGTAGGTTTTAACTTCAAAATTGTATCATCCAGGTAATTTTTTTTTTCAACTAGTGGAGACATTCATATTTCTAAGAAATGCAGTGCTGAGTCAAACCTTTATGTGGCTATGTGAAAAAAACAGAAGCAGCAACCTATGAAGGCTAATAATTCATGAACACTGGAGTTTCCATGGAAATCACTAGAGATTCTAAGCACAACTGTAAAAATAAAAATATTTTATCCACAATTTTAATCTCTTGTGACAAATGCTACACAGAAAAGACATTTCCATTCATTCTTTGTTTACTTGACAGTTTTGAAAGACAGTAACCAGACCTCTGTATATACAATACAGTAGGTTTAGGTTACTTACAGTAGGATGAGATAGCATGAGACTCTTCAAAAACACAGATACTAACACAGTAAGAAACTAGCAGGAGTCATGTCAGTGGGTTATCGCAAATGCCTTAGATATTCTGCAAGATGCTTGCCCAGTATGTTCTACAGAATGCACTAGCGTGGTTACTACTCTGCCCCTGTAGCAAGGTACAGCCACTTCACACTTTCCACATTTTTTCTTCTTTCATAGGAGCAGATCAGGGTTTGGGGAGTATTTGTTTTCTCTCTGATTCTCCTAAGTTCTCTACTGAGTCTGATTTAACACCACAGAGAGCAATGCAACTGCTACATTTAGCTGCAATAATTGAAAATGAAGATGAAAAAGGTCAGGTTTCCAAACACAGTTCAAAGCAGACATGCATGGGGGAAAGGGAACACCAGCTGCAGCATTTCCTCCACTTCTTTCTCTCACATTATCTCCCTTTAATATTTCCTTCCATTCCCCCTCCAGATCTTCATCTCCTCCTCCTCATTGCATCCACAAGCCATAAAACTGCTCAGCTCTGCTATGAGAAGCAGCAGATTTTGCACAGATGTCTCTGGGCAGCACAAGGACAGGCACAAAGCAGCTCTGCTGTCCCTTTGCTGGACGGTGAGCAGCAGGCAATGAGGCAGAGCAGAGCCAAGAGAGAGAGAAAAAGGGTGATGCTGGAAGGATGAGGGAGTGCACAAAGTAGAGCCCACACACTGAACAAGAGTAGAATTTCTTTCAGATCTTGAAGCCCTTTCTAATTTGAAAAAAATGTGTAGCAGGGGAAAGCCTTAACTGGCTTTGGCTTGATCAAGGAGCTGCAAATTGCCAGCCCCAGTGCCTGTGGTCCTCTCACTGCAGCACTGAAGCACTGAGGGAATGAGGCTGAGGTAGGTTTAGCTGAGCTGACCAGGTGACAGCAGCATCACTGCTGCACCACTACAGCTTCAGCATATGCCCTGTAAGTCAAGCTAGGAGCAAAGCAATAATTTCAGGTGTTTAACTGTGCTGAGGGCTATCATCACCTCCCTGCCACTGTTCCCCAGCACTCCTGGTTCAGAGACATGAGGACAGTGAGATCCCAGAGCATGTTACATTGTGCTTTGGACAACTCCCACAGGGATGTGTTTACAAGACAGGAGCGAGGAGACAGGGGACCATCTCTCACAGCTACCAGCTTGGGACCTCTCAAGTTTCAGAGGCAACGTTCTCCCTTCCAGTGCCTAGTCAGCATCTAATCCCCAAGCTAGAAACTCTTGCTCCACCTGTCCAGCTCCTGTTTTCCCAGGCTAACTGGGCTGAGTCCAGAACTGGCACTCCACAATCCCAAGACTGCACACCCAGCTACTGACAGAGGGCAGAACAACCATCACCCTGGAAAACCCTTGCCTTGCCTCTTTGCCCATTCTGCCACCTCCTGGTAAGTCTGGTTCTGACATGGTAAGATGTGACACAAGCCTTGCCCAAATAATAGGCCATAAATAACAGGATAATGACTTGGTGTGGAATAATAGGATAATGACAGGGTGGAAGAGTTGAGTGCAGGTCCCTTCAGCTTTTTGAGCAGGGAGAGCTTCAAATAAAAATAGATTAGAGGAGGTTTCTCAAGTCCTTCTCCAGTCAAATCCAGGAAACGTCCAAGGATAGAGACCCCCAAAACCTTTCTGGACAACCTGTTCCTGCTTGCTCATCCTTGCAGTGCGTTTTTTTCCTTATATACAGTCAGAATTTCCCTTGCTGCAGCTTGTAATCTTGGACGCTCATCCTTTTGCTGTGGAACTCTGAGAAAAGTCTGGCTCTATCCTCTCTATAACCTCATTGGCAAAGTTTTCATGTGGAGCTTCTGGAACTTTTAATGGGCTCAATCTGAGCCCTCTACCCTCTATTAAGTTGTTTTATTTTTCTTCACCTAGCTTCTCTGCTCCCTCACTTGGATTTTTGTTTTCAACCCATTGTTTCCACTCACAATCTTCTTCCTTCTCCCTTCTAACACAGCAGACTGGTAAATAGAATGATCTAGAGCTCAAAATAAGGCCAGGTTATCGGGAAATTAGTGTATTAGCAAAAGTCTTCCAGATACAGAAAACAAACAAACAAACTCAAGGTTTCAGGCACACAAGCCTCCTTTCAGATCTGATGAAAAGACAGTATGCTAATGCTAAGTAATTCCTTTTCTAGCAAAGCTTAATTTCCATTTCAAGTTACTTATCTTCTGTTCTTGTCTCTTCCCTTTGTTCCTTTTGTGGTCTTTCTTCTCTACCTAAGAACTACTCAATTACAGTTCACTTTTTTCCACACAGTAATTCACACTGCTTACTCCAACACTCTACTGCTACATGAAATTTGTCATTCCTAATTTTGTCCAGTACTGACTTTTGATCTTGCTTTTTTCCCCAGGTCTGCTCACAGAACTTTGAAAAACAGGAAATTTCTCTTCTATTTTCTAACTGCTCAATTTTGTTTTAATTCAAAATTCTGAAGCAAGCTGGTGTAAGAAAACCTATCCTATTTTATGTGCCTGTTCTTAGAACGAAGTTCTTCCAATGCATAAGTCTTCCTTGCATTAGCTGAGGTCTCTGTCATTGCAGGAGACTTTCACTGTCTTATGAATAGGAGGAGGGAGAAGAGGGAACACTATTGTCTGCTCCATAGAGATGCATCTATTGAATGACAACAGACAAGGATGAGGCTTTGAGTGGCCTGAACCAGTGGTTTGAAAGCACTGCCTGTTATTACAACTCCCTGATCTGTAAGTCTGGCAGGCAAATTCTTCTGCAGATCGTTTATGACTGCTTTTCAAAATTTTATTATTAATTTCAGTGTCCTCTATTAAACTGAATTATCTGGATCTGAGTGAAATATGCCTATCCCATGCTTTCTGTTTTAGAACAGCCTTTAGATACACCATAAAAATTTGGACAGCATGTACATGCCCAGTGCCCAGAATGCTATGTGCAATGCAGAAAGAAAAATTGATTACAATACCTTATTCTCAAGATTGGCACCTGCCATTTCCTTTTCAACACTGAGATCAATTTCTGATGATTCTGCAGCTTCTTTTATTTCTGCATCTAACAAATAAAGCCCCAAGAACATGTAAAAGAAAGGTATCAAAGCATATCCTGATTAGAAAAACAGAAGGTGGCATCCTTTTTTACAGTTACTTACAGGATGCTGAAATAGAGATTGACATAATTTGGCATCATGAAATGGATTCTAGGCTGGGTAAAAACAAATTTGGAAGCCAGGATGGCACATATGGCATAATCCAGGTTTTTCTACCTTAAAAATTAGCACGATTTCACAGGACTTTATTTGCAATTTTTTTTGTAAGAAATTCATGCTACCTTTTACAGCTGAAATTATTGGAATGTCAATCCTGGTTTCAGGCCTCCTGACAAAAAGTAGCTAACCTGGGAAATGGCCTATACCACAATATAGATTTGCTGTGGAGTTGAGCAACAATGACAAGAAAGTATACCTACAACCAATTTATATGACAATTTATAATATTTGAGCACCTACCTAAAGACAATTTTTATTGTATTATTTGTTATTGATTCTGCCACAGGCTGAGAAACTTTCCAAAAAAACAATCCAGTATCAATTGTTTTAGCACTCTGAATATGTAAAAGTATCAAATTTTACTCACCATCCAGAAGAGATTCCAAGTTTTCATTGGCAGTAAATCTATGCTTCACACTTATTTCCTCAATGCTTTCCTCTGGTGATCTGTCTGTTTGGCTCACATGTGATGTTATGACAGCTTCACGGAGACTTTCAACTAAAGAGGAAAACACGCTGAATTACAGAGGCCCTGTAAATAGCCCCTTAATACATAAATCAGTGGCATAGAACCATAGAATAATTTAGCTCGTAAGGGACTTTCAGAGGTCTTCTAGTCCAACATCTGACTTAAAGTTGGTCAAACTAAATTGCACTGCTCAGAGCTTTGCAAATACAAGCTCTTAACTCCTTCAAAGATGGTGACTTCACAGTCTCCCTGAGCAACTTCTTCCAGTTTTTAACACCTCCATGGCACATAATTTTTCCTTTCAGCTAAATGGAATTGCAGGTGTTCCAATATCTGACTGTTGCATCTCGTCCAAGTGTTTTTCTTTTATCATCACATGACTCTGCAAAAAACCTGGCTTCTCTGTATTCTCCCATTAAGCAGCTGTGGACAGTAATGAGACCCTATACAGCCAGCTACCTCAGCTTTTCTCAGATGTCATGTCCTCCAGCACCCTAGTCATCCTGTTGCCTTTCACTGGATTTGCTCCACTTTGTCAATGTCTCTCTTGTCCAGAGAAGCCCAGCACTACTTCATGGCACCTCCCCCAATTTGCTGGCAACTCTCCTCCTATTGCACCAGCCAAGGAAGCAGTTGGCCCTCTTTGCCACAAGAGCACACTGCTGCCTCATGGTCAACCAGCTCTCGAGTAGGACTTTCAGGTCCACTTAAACAAAGCTGTTTTCTATCTAGTTAGTGTCCAGCCTGGACCAATACACAGGATTACTCCACCCAAGATGCAGGATTTTGCACTTGTCTTTGTAAAACGCCTAGATGTTCCTCTTAGCCCATTCTCCCAATTTGTAGAGGTCTCTCCAGCACACTGAACATCCCACCCCATTCAATGACAGTCATGAATTTGCTAAGAGTGTGCTCAATCCCATAGTTAGCTGCATTAATAAATACATTGAACAGTACTGGTCTCCGAATCCATCCCTAAGGAAATCCCCTAATAACGTGTTACTGGCCAGACATCATATGACTGATCACAACCCCTTCAGCCCAGCAGTCCAGTCTGTTTTCCATCCAGTTAAGCAGTTCACAACAGTTCATATGTAAGGATACTACAGCCAGTGCAGGTAATGTTGAAGGTCTCACAGATGTCAAGGTAACCAACGTACCTTGTTCTCTCATCATGAAAACCATCAGGCTAGTCAGACACAACTTGCCCTAGATTAATCTGTTAATCTATCACCTTCATGTCTTTCACGTTCTTGGAAATGGTTTCCAGGAGGATTTTCTCTATCACCATCTCAGAGATGCTGGTGAGACTGACTGTTTGGTAGTTCCCTATATATTCTTTCTTGAAGAGAAGTGTGAGGCTTGCCTTCTTCAAGTCATCAGGAACCTCTCCTGATCTCTGTGATCTTTCAAAGCTGACAGAAAACAGCCTCACAACGACATTAACAAGCTCTCTAAGAAGTCTTGGATTTATCTCATCTCATCTCATGGATTTGTGTATATCTAATTTGCTTAAGCTCTCTGTAATTCTATCCTTCTCTACTGTGAGCAATGCTTTATTCCTACAGTCTGCTATTAGCTCAGGGACTATTTCTGTCCTGGAAAATTGTCCCCACAAATTTTCTGCACTGTAAACAACTGTAAGCTCCTACAGAGTGCTGTAGAGTACTGAAATCCAAGACATCATCAACATCAACAATAGCATGAGAGAAAGTGAAAAATAAAAAAGTGGGCAGAATAGTGTGTGTAAGTATAGGCTGCCATTTTAACTATTTACTGTTGCATCACAGATTTATATTCCCTACACAAGTTTAATAATTTTTATCAATAAAAAGCACTCTGGTTTTATAATGATGATGGAGACCAGGCTTCACTGCTTTATCACTTGAAATGTTGTTAGTAGCATACAGGTCTCAATTTAGGTGATTAGGGCTCAGTTTACCAGAATTCTTTTCAGCTTAGTTTAGCTGAAGTTTAGCTGAAGTTCCAGCCAGGGAAGGTATCAACAAATACCATTCCCTCCCTTCCTTTCTTCAGAGGACATTACTATAGGTGGTCCAAGGTTATCATCTCACTGTTAGATAATAGGCAGAAAAAACACGGTTCCTACAGTGATTCTGGCAGGTGTTTCTTGGTAAATCTGAACTGATCTGTATATGATCATACATGATTCTGATGTGTCATCAAATTAGCCCAGGTAGGTGAAGGTCAGGGACCAGGTGCAATATCATATTGCAACTTTTTATGTGCTTCACAGATTTGTACCGCAAGGCGTACAGCTAACAACCTAACTCTATTTCCCTGCATGCTCACTTTTGATGCTATGCACTAAACATCCCTTATTTTACAATCTGGCAGATACCATCTCCTATATCTGACAAGAATAAACTTGAGAAATTTCAATATCCATTGACAAGTTTTGACACTGCCCGTTCTTGAGACTTGACAGAGCTGCAACACAACGCACTGTCCATGTGAAGAGCCACCAATCCACTCTACCCATGCAAACTCACCTTCTCTGAGTGCTGCTGCCAGCAATGGAGCAGCCTGTGGAGTTTCTCCTGAATCAGGTTTGATAAGGAGGTGAGGTTCTACACGAACATTATCAAACCCACACATATGTCCCAGTTCTGCATACACGTGCAACTTCTCTTCCAAATAATTGCAGATTTGCTGGTCCTGATTACTCAGCAACTCTGTCAACCAAAATTGAACACCGTATTAATATTTTTTTATGCTGCAGGGAAACACATTCCTCATTCACCCTCCTAAGCTTTATGCCACATAGATATTGCTAATTCAAGCTAAACCTTTCTTAACTGGCCAGGAACCAAATTCATCCCATAGTCCATCCTAATGAAAGCTGGTACAGACCCTGATAGAGGTCCAGAGCTCTACCCTGATCATGTGGCCTTGGCTGCCCTCTTGGGCCCTCAGTTACCGATTGTTGCACTCACAATAACAAGTGAGTGTTGCATCCTGGAAAATTACTTGGCTCAGGTGCACTGATTCAGGGCCTCCACATCAAAGAACACCTGCTTTCAGCAGAGGGTACCCTTCCCTGTGGCTCTCTACAGGACAGACATTGCTGCAATTTTTCTTCTTGCAACAGTACAAAGATTGGGAGTTAGATGTAGGGGAAAGAGGGAAGCAGAATTTATCTCTATTAGCTATAGTTTCAGATAAAAATAATAGCAGCAAAGTGCATAAACAAGCACAAAGCCACACAATTTTGAAGATTTGAGGTATTTCCACAAACACAAAGCTACCTGGTCCTGAGGCTAGTCTGGGAAATTCAGTGTTTATTTTGAAAACATCCATTTTTCTTTTTCGGTCATGGTAATATAGAAAAAAACATTAAACCCTTTGAAAAAAAAAAAAAGCTTCTCTTTCAATACACTCACATCATACCATCAGACCACCCCAGCTGTGACTCTGCCTATTGAGCCAGTTTGAACCCATCAGCCAGTATTGGGCACATTATTAATTCATCCTGAACTCTGAGGATGCCAGAGCTCTCAGAGTGGCAGGAAAGGTACTACACCTTGATATTTCTGAATTCTGTATGCTTTGGCCTCAGCAATACGCCTGTCTTCATCAGATTCATTCATTTTTACTTCTTCTTCTTTTTCCTCTGGACAACTTCAAAGATAAAAGACAAAGGTGGACAAAGCAAAATTGTCTATCATCTATTAATCTTCAACACAGTGTTATGTTCACAATAAACAAAACACAACATCAGCAACAACTTTTGCAACAGTCCAGAGGCAGGACATTTGTCAGCCTCTTTAAGAAGCAGTAAGTGGACATAAACCATACTGACTCTTTAATTCTGGTAAGGCTGCATTGTGTAGCAAATGGGTGGCTGGCCCACATGCAGGTTTGCTGTCCTAAGCAGAAGCTTGGGCCCCGTGAGAGGCAATGGTTTTCCTATCATTCCTAAAGCACTGACACCAAGATAACAGGCATGATTCACCATTTCCTCAAAATGGTTGTAGGGACACCTGCTGGACTCTGGAAAACATCCAGTGCCAAAGGCAAAGGTACAGGTAGCTCAGAAGGATGTCTGATAAGGAGTGGGAAAGATCTGCTGATTCAGTAGGAAACCAGAAGGAATATGAGAAGTTTGGTAGAATTGATGATGAGGTTTTGGCATCTGTGAACTTTGAGCTAGGAGAAAAATCCAATCTCACAGATGCAATGCAGAACAAAGAGCACGCTGCCGGGAACATCCAACTGACCTCCCATCTGCTTTGGGCTGCCAGGATGAAAACCAAAACCCTTTTCCCCTACCTTTCCACTGCATCTTGAATATGCCTCATCCAGTTGTTACGCTCTTCTTTGGAGTTCGTATGGACCTCATACATCTCAGGCCCTGAAGATGAAGCGCTAATCAGAAACATCCCTCTTTCTTCATTGGCTACTTCTCTTACTATGAGCCTCTGAAGGGAGATAACTGAAGGCTTCTGGTCCTGAGGGAAACAGTCACAGCATATGCATAACAAATGACTTTCTTATCAAACATCGCACTTTAGGAAGAATATGATTTTTCAATTCATTGAACTAATTCCAGTCCTGGTAAAGTCAGACTACTGAAAGTTTTCAGTAATCAGACATCTTTTTAAGCTATTTTTAAAAATATGTTATACTGTTTATGAACAAATAAAGCACTAGCTATGTGTTAAAAAGTAGATCTCAGAGACTTAATGATATGAAGGCACAATATTCATATAATGTTTATATTTATATACTTTGGGAACTTCATTACCTTTCATATCTTTTACGTGTGTTTACTACTACATTTGCAGTTAAAATTATTCTTCTGTTTGTTTTACAAAACCAGAAATTCATACTTATTTTAGACAACTGAAAGAGCCTGTATCACTTCCTACTTTCACAATCAGATGAGGCATGACACTAAAAATATAATTCTGTTATTTTCATCCTTCTTCATTAAAAAATTATTTATTTTTGAAAATAAACTTAACATTCTATATACTGACATATTACAGTTCCGAATACACTACCAGGATTTTAGAAAAAAAGAAATTATGTGGTAATAATCTAGATAAGGACATAACTTTTGAGAAATGTACAAATAAATGTGCAATGTATATATTCAAATATTTGATAATATACTCACAACAGCTGCGAAGATGTACTTTTGATCCTTTTCTTGTAAGAACAATAGTACATCAGTTAGAAGCAGAGCCAAGGTGTCTTAAAATTTTGAGAAAAGGAAAAGCATGGGTTTTAATTAAAGATAGTACAATTATAGATAATTTCTTATTTTATCTTTATGAAGGAAGAAGCCCTGATCAATAAATATCTCATAGAATCCTACAGTAAACTAAACAGGAAATATCTGAATTAGCCAATGGTCTGCATGAAGCACTTGCACATCACCACTTTGTATCTCCCAGGCAGAGCACCATGCTGGAGCACTGGCCCAGGAAAAGAAGAAGTCCTTGCACCAATGTCAGCGCAGCTTCCCTAAGCCATTCACCTGGGAACGACTTTCTCATGTAAATTTTACTTTGTCTATGCTGTAACTACACTCACAGCACAGTATTATAGTGGTAAAAGTATTTCTGGAATAATAATGAGCAGACAGCTTTATAAAGTTGTACAGTAAATATTACTAAGCTGCAAAAACTCCAATCCCTACTGTGTGATTAACACCAAAAATCCAGTTCTGAGCTTGCATGTAAAAATTGTGCTCCAGGCAAATGTGGCTTCAGAACTTCTTTTCTACGGCAGATGTCCCATTACCACTGATTTTTTCATGAGTTATTTTCCATGGCCAATACTGTGAACAACAAAAATGGGCAAGTAAGACTCTATGTTATGAGATGAAACTGAGAAACAAAAAAACTAAAAGGAGGCCACTGGAAGAAGAAATGCAGTAGATGGCTTTGTATGTGAACTTGTCTTCTTATGCAGATTACCCACAAACCACATCAGCTTCTGGAACTACTCTTCTAGCAATTAGTGGCACGTTTGCAATACCATTACCTCAGACATTCTTATTTGCAATACAGTGTAATAAAGTATTTTCATTCTTAAAACAGTCTTCAAACACTATTTGCAGATGAAGAGTTAAAGGACCTCACTGCTTGGATGAGATACCTTTGAAACGACCAGTCGCTGTCTTCCAGTACACTAAACCTTCATGAAGAAGTATCCTCTCTTTCCTCATCAAGTCTTGCTTCCTAAAGATATGGCCATTTTTCAGCTTTGTGTATGTTTTGTTTTCAGTTCTGCAGAGAATTTCCAACAACTTTTGCTTTTTCTCATACTCATTCACTTTCAAATCTACTGCTGCAATCACATCCTTGATTAGACAAAGAGCTTTGCACAGGTCTTTATGTTCCTCTGTTCCTTCTGTATGAAACAAAAAATTAACATGGCACTAGTCAGCGTGTTCAAGAAAAGAAGTAATTCCTTACTTTCTGGGAAAAATCCACATCATGCAAAAGCTTAAACTGATAAATATTGGTAAATATGTTATTTTTAGCTGAACCTGTCAACCAACTTGCTAGAAATATTAGAGGCATATACCTTTGTTTGACTTGCCTATTAAAAGATCACACGTATCCCAGATTTATTCATCAGCCAAAACAACTCATTGAATAATTTCCGCCATATTTATGAGGTGTAAGCATTCAAAAAAAATTACTGGCTAAGTAAATCATATAGTATATTCCTCTTATGGCTAAGTGAAAAGTACCCTTGAAACAGGACTGCAAATACTGAGGGTTTGCATTCAGACATACGAATTTCTACAGTGCTCATTTAGGGGGTCTATATCTGTAAGTTTTTGGTATTTGTAAACTGTTCTACAAAATTCCAGAGGTCATTCAAGCTCTGCTCTCAAACCAGAAAGTGATTTACAAAAAGTTTGCCTAGCCCTACTTACAAGAGGCTCCTCCAGAATTAATTCCAAAAGTGCAGATGGGTGTCTGAACTAGTTCTCATCCTGTAGTCAAGGTCTTTTCCTAAAACGAGGATGCTCTTCTGGACTTCTACCTGACTGGGATATCAGAAATCTTCACAGCCCAACCTTGACAAAGCCTACATACACACTGAACAGTAGGTATTTACATTGCTCTGGTTGTATCTTTACAGAGCGGTGATGATAATCTTTCGTTATATTGTAGCTGTACAAATTCCTTAAATTAGAAACGCACTAGGATTTCAGACATGAAGCAACGTTTTAGCTTTTATTCACCTTTTGAGTACTGCAATATCCTTTCAACCAGAACAGGGTATTTGGTGATTCGCTGGGTGACGAGCAAAATGCACTCGGGGATTCCTCGGCGTCGTGCCAACAGGTTACTATTTCTCAGCTGCACAGATACAAATATATACCCTAAGTAGTAAACGCATATGAAACCACCAATTGACTGATAAGAGACATGATCTAAAAGCATAAGAGTAAGTTAAAACAAATGCTGGGTAATCTGAACCATCCCCAAGGAACAGTTGCTGCGCTGAGGGATGAGGTGTACTATAATAGGAATGTGTGTAATACACGCTGGATGACAGAGCACTCTAAAATTTGAAAGAAAAATGTGATTTATCAGCTCACTAGTTAATGAGGAAAAACCTTTGCCATTTTGACTAGCTACTAAAACTGAGGTATGGAATATAATTCCAATCCTATATCCAAGTAAAACCTATGTATCTTTCTCCTGGGCATTCTGTCAGCAGTGATCATGATTCCACATTAACTTACTTTGATAAAATTCTGGAACTTCTTGTTTTGTTGCAACTCCTTGAAGAGATTAACAGCTTCTTTCTGATGGCTGCAAAACTCTCCATATATTTTCTCCATTTTAGTTGCATTTTCCTCTGAAAACTGAAGAAATTAAGTGAATTGTGCTCAACATTGACTCAGACAGGAAACTGTATACCTTAAATTAATGTATTTTGTATGAATAAGGAATTTTATGCTACTTGTTTCTCAAGTTCTCTGTCATTACAGAATGAAAATGGCCTAGCTGTTTCTAGGAGCAAGAAGGGGAATATAAGCTGGAGAAAGCACAAGCGACCTCACTACAGTCTTGCCAATAACAGCTAGAACAGTTATTATAAGAGCATTTCCTTCACCTCTTTGCAAACATAACTTCTCCGAGGTTTATTTGCTTTTGTCTGATCTCCACACTGCTTCTAGACAAGATAACAGCTCAGTTATTTATTTCAGTGGAGAGAAAACTGACTAACTGAAGGTGAGAAGCCACATTCTCCCTATTGCAAGGAACTGAAGCATGAATGGCAAGCCATTAGTTAGCCATTCTTCGGCCACAACAAACACATTGTGACCACTCCTTCTCTAGTGATCAGTATCGTGAGATCACTACAAGAAATGAATGGGTAGTTTCTTTTCCATCATCAGTCAGTTTTTCACACCTCTACTCAGATGTTAGGAAAAGTGAATCCCTTAAAAAATGAATCCATTTTTTGCAGTCCCTGGTATGACAGCAGCCTTCTACCACAAACAGGACTAAGTTCATCATTTTCCTTGTCACTCATACCGCATAGGTAGAAGTTCATCCCAAATTCATCGCAGTCACCTGACAGCAATGACTTTTTGCTGTTCCACCCTGAATAATCTGGACGGGACAGTTTTTGAATTTTATGAGGCAACTATAGCTGTCTTCTTGCCCACAAATATTCAGAATCAAAAAATTGTTTAAAATGGGAACCTTGAGCATTTAAAGGATTAACAGAGTTGATGTGTCTACCTGCTGCACAAGGATGTCTCCAATTCTGCTGATGACAAAATTACGTTCATTCCCTGCCTCACATGATCCCTGCCGCCTGTCCTTCATTCTGCAGAAGAATTGCCTGTGCATCTCCAGTAGCTCATCTAAGCAGGGGAATATTCTGTTCACTGTATTGTGATCGAGCTGCAGTTCTTCCTTCATCCCTTTCCTGAATATTTCAGACATAATGAGCAGAGTATGGATGTGATGTACTTCTGTTTGCATCAGCTCTGAAGTATAAAAGAAAACAAAATAATGTAGTAATCACCTGAATATGTTGCACACCTTCTAAGACTTTAGTAACATTCAAATATACAATTATAATCCCTTTTCCTGTGTGAGCTTAGAACAGAACAGATTATGTCAGGAGGAAGATTTAATTTGTCTGGCTCTGGCCCAGTTCTCTCAACTGCATCCCACTGAAGCTGGGGTTGCAACTCCTTGAGCTGGGGATTGGATGACGTACCTTTCAACTCCTAATCTGTAAACAGATTAGGTATGTCTCTAGTAGTCACTACTACCCATTTCTTTAGTTCTAAGACACATCGTAAATTTTATGGCAAAAATTTTCTTTGAATCTTCTTACTGTTTTGAGCTTAATTCATTGTTCTGGACATAAACCATGTAGGTTCCCTCTCTATTTGATACAACAAATTGCTTTAAACCTACACAAAGTTTTGAAATACTGACCAAATATGACATCCTGACGCTTGATGACATCTTTTTCTTGCTTGCTACAGAATATTGGGTCCACAACAAGACTCCAGGACTCTGCCTCAAACTCTTCTGCATCTGTGCAGAGATCAGTCCACTGAGACAAATCCACGTAATCTATGACAAAATTTATATTTCTTTAACACCATGCATATGAAGAGTATAGGAAGTCCTATTCAGGTAGATCTATTCATATAGTAAGAGGACCACATCACAGGGTTGAACTATGGGTAAGGCTTCTGCAAACATTGGCACTGGCTTTACAACAAAGAAGTTTACCAGATGTTAATATCATTAACAAAGTGTTGAACTGCTTTTGCGACAGGAAGTGAAGAGAATAAAAACACCTTACTCTTCTTTTCTCAGATGAAATCCTTTTCATAATTCTTTGCTTGAAGAAACTTTTCAGAATTTAAAAATAAAATCCAACATTTCCAACAGCAGATGTCCAGTGAGTGATATCTACACCATTCTATGTGATTGAATTCCCTTCAGCTTTGAAATTCAGTCTCACACCTAGCTACAGAAAAAGTCTATTTCTATTCACTTCACAAGGCTATGTAACTATTGTAGGAGGAAATTCACCAGTAGGATGAAAGACTTTGGGGCTACTGAGGAAATGCAAGTATTGTAGGTCTACATTTTGCAATGGACACTGTCAAAAGAGTTGGTTGGATGGGTGCAGAAGAAAAGTATATTGCTGTTCTGGTTCTGCAAGAATGGCAAATACATTTACTCCAGTTACTTTAAAATGGGAACAACATACTAAAATATTCTAAAAGTTATAAAATAGTTATAAGGAAGAAAAGTTCTATTTTAGGACTAATATGTCTATTTTATCGTTTTAATGAGGAGTGCCATTGTAATTATCAAAAATAAGTGCCCTTCTTTTAGGAGATGAAGTGTCTTCCTATATCAGTTAAGGGGTTTTCTATTTTGCACTTTCCAATACAGGTTACAAGATATAATATCTGTGCAATTCTTCTCACCTTCCACCATGAAAGCATCCATTGAAGAAAAGGTCCCTAATGCTTGTAACATCTCTTCAGACTGTGACTTGTACCTCCAAGGGCTCGTCTCAGAGTCTTGTTCAGAAAATTGTGTAGGTCTTCTACAGCAGAAAAAAAAAATCACATATTTTTTGTGGTTTCAATTTTCACAGAAGTGCTGTATAATGTATTTAGCATAGTCTCTTAGCAGCTGCCCCTCTACCTTTCGAAACTGTCACTGGGGACACTTTTAGACAAGAAGTAGGACTGTTGTGAGGCTTCCCTCTTTCCATAAGAGAGTCCAATAGGCACAGAGGAAGAAGGATGCACTGAGGAGAGCACCATCTGTGGAGTGTCTCCAGGCAAGGAATCTGTGAGGCAAAGCACAACACAACATTTTGACAAACAACCAAGAGTATGTCATCAACAGTACACTTAAACTCATACAGGAAAATGTTATCTGGTGTTCATATTGACCTACACCAGATATCAAGAATGTCTGTTTGCTGAGGTACAAGACCACAATGCTCTCTCATGGAATATAACAATAAGCCTGTAGGCAAAGTGCAATAGCTCCATCATGGATATTATTTGATAAGAAAATAATCTCAAATCATACATGCTCTAACATTGCAATCTAAACACAGGTGCATAAATATTTGTGCACAAAGTAAATTACATACTCGGACAGAACCAACTACATTTATTTTTGTTCTGACTGAAAATGTGGTAAATTTCCACTTGTTTTAGTAGGAGATGACTTAATTCAACAGTAATCTCTTCAAAAATTCTGTTCATATTAGAGGCACAAATGGTTTCTTATAGATATTGACATGAAAAATAAAAACACAAATGATGCAGCAAAGTCCGTGCTGTCAGTCCCATGATTTTTAACCAAGGTTTAACTTAGAAGGGTTAGGTTTACACCTAACTTACTTGTTACACCAGCTTGGGGCTTGTTTTTATTATGGTACCTCTCCTGGGATTTCTGAAAGAAGGAGAATTTTTTTAAATTGTATAGTTGATAACACATTTAACAGTTAAGTCAGTAACTCTCTTCCATATACTGTCACACCAAGGGCTGTAAAAAAGTAGTCCTAAATTATGGTCCTGATTTCTTCCAATAACTAATTTTATTAGTTATTGGTAGATAACAATATTCGAAGTAGAATACTATTTGTACTACAATACAAAACTTTATTCTGAGCAGAGTCACTGAGTTACAACATTCTACTTCCTCTATGTGAGTACTGCTTGTGAAGGCTGCAAGAAAAGTGCACCTTCAGGGCTTTATATTCAAATAAGCTCAAAGCATTTGTGGCAGGATGGTATCTAAGGAAGCCTGGGTAGCAAAGGCAGAATCGATCTCCCTTTCAAAGTGGACTTTTGCAAAACCTGTAGAAAAATTCTGCTGTGCTTAGGCATGTACTTCATTTCAAGTGAGTCAGTGAACATTTTCTGCATCTCATTCTTGTTGAGATGTTGACGGGTGGTGGGGGCACCTCTTGGCAAATAACCCACCAGCTCCAGTAACTAAAGCTGTCAGTTCAGCTGTCTTAATGCCCTAAAGTTGCCCAGAAATTTGGGCAAGGCTATGACACGACAAGTATAACCAAAATTAAAACCACTTGATTTATGGACAGTTTAAGGCTTGTTTGTCTTGAATAATCTGGATGGAAGCATGCTCTCCTTGCAAGCCACCATGGTGCAAAACCTTGCTGCATCAGAAAGACTCACTCCACTAATTTGAAAAATGACTCGTGTCACTGTGGCATATTTCTCCGCAAGTCCCATTTTATTTCAAGACGGCAGAAGCCTTACACATCTGTTTTTTAAAATTATGTCTTTGTCATGATAATCTCACCATGTATGCATTTCTACTTAACAGTTTAGGAAGTATCCATCAGATCTAGCACTGATTTTGCCCTGTCTGTAGTGGTAGCTGAACACTGGGAATAACTGCCTAGGCAGGTAGCTGTGGAATCACCTTCTCCAGAGATTTTCCAGAATGGGTCAAACAAACATCTGCCTACATTGCTACCTAGAAGTGAGACTGCTCAAGGGTGAGGAGATGGATCAGGTCACCTCCCAGGGCCCCTGTCGCCTGTGCTTTCCACTGTTCCAAACATATGGGACCCCCCTTCTACCCAAGGATCTCTCTATGGTTTTGACCTTTTCTTTTCAATCCCTTTCGTAACCCTTCAGGCACACCATTTCACAATTTGAGCTTGCAACTCTTCAAAAATATAAATACCTCTTCAAATTCATTTTTGATGCCCTACTAAAACTTCTTCTTTAAGCACAGTGTTTGCTCACATTAGACATTTTGACACCCTTGCAGCCCTTTGCATACTGAGTCTGGGCAGGCTGTCTGTATTTTCTTTTTCCATTCGTGATGTTTTCAGACCCCTTGGAAAGGAGGTATGCTCCAGTAAGATCAGATAGGAGGTTACCTTGGTGCACATAGGAGTGTGCTCCTTGCAGCTTTTATGTACAATCACGTTGCAATCTGAAAGAGAAGGGACATTTCAAAGCCTGGCAACAAACAAGGCCCCCAGTTTGCAGAAAATGTACCCTGAGGCTTCAGTTTTTCCCTTCTACAGATTCAGTTACTAAAGTAGTCAGGAGGATACTTTGACGTGCAGACACTGGCTAGGAAGAGGTTTCTGCCTAACGAGCTAGAGCTAGAACATGGACTGAATCTGCCACCTGCTGTCCTTTCTCCCTCTCCCTTGTCAACCTCAGCTCAATACATAAAGTAGGTACATCCAAATATAGACAAGGTTTCTTTTTCAAACAACACACTGAACCAGGATCGGAAAAGAGCAGTCAGAACACTGTAAATTCACATGCAAAAGCCAGCAGTTACTTACAAGAACACTGCAGTGACTCTTTTCCTAGGAGGGCCTTTTCACAGACCATACATGGCATAACTCCTGGGAAGGTTCCATTTGTAAAATTGTGTCTGTTAAGTTTCTCTTTATCTTTGGTATCTTTATTTTTTGTCTTCGTCCCCAACAGCAGAAGCAGGAAAAAATAAATAAATGAAAAAAAATACTCAAAAAAAAGATAAAGCGACTCAATCTTCAAACCAGTAAAATACTCCCTTTTAAGAGCAAATTATTCTAAAACATTTATTCCCTGTCCTGGAAGACTTGCAACAGCATACTGTACTATTACACCCAACATTGCTGAAGTCCTAAAATGATATAGGTATTGCTTTCACTGGCAGCTAAGCCAGGAAGCATTATCAAGGAAGACTGGCAGAAACACATTTAAATACCTAAAAAAAGGAGAGGGTCGGAAAATAAAGTTTAAACGCAGTGTTACTGACTCACTGCACACAGAAACAAATATCAGTGCCTACATCCCCTACTATATACAGCTCATGCCTCTGTAGTTAAAGCTACAGTTATGCAAATTTATACAAGTCGTCTTTAGATCTTAGAAGACATTAGAAACAATCTATTTTTAATGAGCAGTAAAGAAGTTGATAAATTCTGCCTATTTTTACAGTACTCTTTTTAGCATAAGTATACATATAGTCTACTTGTAGTTACTGACAGTTATTCTTTAGGAGAACACACAGACACAGGCCAGTGTATGGCTGCGGGATCAGAAATGCATGTTCATGGCCAGTGCTGATGCTCTTGAAGATATCACCTCACACAACCATGTTCACATCCGTGCAACATTAGGATATCCTGGGGCACAGGAGGGCATAATAGGGAGCCTGTAAAAATGCCAAAAGGCCAACTGGAAAAAGCCTGTAGGTGAAATCCATCTCTCAAGCTGCTAAGTGATGCCATTAATCTAAGATGTCTCAAACTCAAATTGCAAATGTTCTAATGTACCTTCCATACTATGTAAGTTCGGCTCTGCAGGCCTCAAATCTCCAACTTGTTAATGCTAAGCAGTGCTTACTCGTGCAAGAAGTCCCATTAACTTCAGTCAAATTCAACAAATTACGTACTTAATTACCTGTTGCGAGCAATTCCAAGAACAGGTCCGTATCTCTTAATTTTATTTAACTAAGAATATTATTTCTTAAATGCAATTCATAGAATTAAACTTCTGCTAAATCATCAAATGAAATTACTAGTAACATAAAAAAATGGCAGGGGAAATACTTCATATTGTTCAGCTAAGGCTATTGTTTAAAAGGAAAGCTGGTTTTTAATATGAAGGCAATTTCAGGGTATCCTGCATATGTTTTAAATTTCAAAAATAAAGGTAAAAGATTCTTCCTATTACTCTTGTGGTTTGGTAATAAACAAATTATCTTTACATGAAAATTTAGATTCTCATCTATAATTCATTTAATTACAGTGGCATAGTTATACATAATAGTATAAACATAAATCCCAAGTTACCTTGTATTTATTTCGTGTGCTGGTCATTCTGTTCATCAGAAAACTGAAAGTCCGACTCACTTTACATTTTTCAGACTCATTTTTTGAGGGTACAATATATTTATTCCATTCCTCCTCCTGAATCCTAAAACAGAGGCCAGTAAAAAACCTCATTCCAGAGGGAACAGCCCCTTTATTAACACACAGCAGAATCTTGATGGTGCTTGTGTCACCTAACATTTATAATTACATGTTTTGTTGTGGGTACAGCAGACATTATGAAAAAAATTGCAATCCCTCTATAAAAAGGAGGAACTCTTGCCAATGGAGCACTCTGCTTGTGCAAGGTGTAACAAGCTTGCCTAGATTATAGTTGGTATCAAAAACTCCGTTGCTTTTACTGCAGTGGTTTGGATGCTCCTACAGTGGACAGGAGCCGCACAGAGGACAGGAGCCCATCCCTACTTAGCACATCCCACAGTGGTGCACAGCAAATCCTGCTACAGGATGTGTGCAGTGAGAGCCAGGTTGAGCTTGGCACAGGGTTTAGGCATGTGCCCGCAGATGGCCTTGACAGGGAGGGCTCCTTTAAATCGCTGCTCACATCTTGGCTAGAAGGGGTGCCAACAACGCCTCTTCCCCGCACGGCTCCCTAGAGGGCAGTCTTGCGCAGCACCTTGTTCCCCGCACCGCCGCGACACATACCCGTACTTTTTCTCTCGGGACTGCTCGGGCAGACTGTATGCTCGCTCTGTAAGACAAAAACAGCCATCAGGCACTCAGACTGCAAGGTCATCAAGATTATTTGAAACTCACAACCTCCATCAAGCCATAAGCTCGCCATTAAAGGGTCGCAATGTCATTTGAAAATTAGGAAAGCAAAAACATACACACATGAGAAACAGCTTTTCCTAGGTTAATACCACAAGCTTTTAGTTGACAGAATCTGCCAGAACTGAGATGGGTATCAGTGAATGCCAGTCTCTGCAAACAGTCTGTTTTGAAGAATAACAAAACACTTTTTTTTCTCTAAACAACACAGACTTGAATGATTGATGCTTCATTTTGCTTTTTGTCATAATTTGTTGTAAAATATCTTAATGACATTCTTCTAACATTCATAATTACCTGTCTTATGCAGTTTCATCTACAGTATTAAAAAAATTTAAATCCCTCTGTGCAAAGAGGAATACTACTACCCTATGTACTGCACAGGATGTTTAATGTGTTTGTATCCTCTATGATTCTGTGATCCTAGAAACAGAGGACTCAAGGAGATACTTTTCACAAACTCTCTAAAATGCAAAAAAAAAAAAAAAAGATAAGATATTCAGTTGACTTGTTTTAGAAGAAAATAAGCCCAAATCTATAGAGACTATTTTTAAATTAGAAGCCACTCCATTTTGCAGACAGTTTTAGCAAAGCTATCACAGATATGGTTCAGAAAGATTCCCAAACACTTGCCTAAAACAAAGAATCAGACTATCTCTCTTTAGATACAAACTTAAACACTCTTCACTGAAATCAGCATCTCTTCAGATGGATGTAGACTTCAGGTTAGTAAGAACCAGAATATTTACCAAAGAAGCAGCAAGAATAAAAGGGCATTTCAGTTCACTATCATGCATAACCTGTGCTACAGGATGCTTTCATAAGAAACCAACACCAAGCATCCATGGGACATGAAGACAGTCTTGTGCAAAACAGCACCGGGGCATTGGCACTGATGTACTTACTAGAAGGGCGGAGCTGAGACACTGACTTAGAGAGTGTAAGGGCCTGAAGAAGGGATGGACCACTGTTCTTGAGCACACCATTTACAGAGAAGGGACAAATCCTTTACTGTTACAACCTGGTAATACCCTCTCAAAGAAAAGCAGGTAGTTGTTTTAGACCTGAGCATACTGGAAAGTTTTCATCAGAAATGGATGGTCCTTTCCCACTTTTTTCTCATACTTGGTGTGAAAAACACCATCCTGTTGCCATCCTTCATCCATCTGCTTTGGCTTATGTTTCATCACAAGGTACAAGGTCAGCAGAGCCTCCCTCCTGCATAGCTAAGCCCTGAGCAAGATGTCAGAAGTGCTGGCAACTGGCAGAAGGGAAGGGGCAGGTTTTCTGTGTTCAGTCTCTTACACAGACCTAGACACAATCCCACTACAACCCATAGAAATCAGAATGAATTATTTGACCTAGTTTCTTGGACCAAGTTTCTGGGCTAGTCCCGTATGCAGATACAAGTGCTTGAAGTGAATACAGTTATGCCTGCCTCAGACACTGATCATCGCTGCCAGCTGCCAAACACTTCAGTGCTCCCATCCTTGCAAAACGCTGGACAAGGCAGGACGTGCTGGTGGCAGGGAAGTGCCAGCAGGAATCTCAGCAGATCACCACCTTCCCTCCCAGCATCACACCGCATCTGTAGTGCAGGCTGCAGAACAGCCTGGTTCCAAAGTATGGACGAGAAAGTGTTTCCACCTTCTCTACAAGATACGTAAAGGTCCAGCACTGACTGTCCCAGGAGGAAGGAGAGAAAGGATGAAAAGGAAACAGGTCCAAGCACAGATCAGGCCAGGGCAGATAATGGTGTCTGGGCGGAGCTTAACGGGTTCTGACACCTTTAGCTGTGGGATCAAAGGAATTCTGTTTTAAGCACATGCCACAGGGCTTTGCTGATCTGTCATCTTCTAATTCTGTGACATGCCTTCTATTTTTTCTTCTGCTTTGTTTTGCCAGAGACTTCTCCCCTGATCTGCTGAATACAAATGCTTACATATATTTTAGGTGACAGGGAAAAATACAACACAACTGCATGCTGAGTACATACTCCTCCTTACAAGTTGACATGACATCTTACAGTGAATTTGAGCAACAGCAAAGAAGTTATTTGCTGCACAGCTCAACATGGTTTCTTAAGGAAAAAAGAGGTTTGCAGTCATTGTATGTCTCACCTTGACAACAGCTTTTGAAATTAAATGATTTCAAAGTTAATGATAATATTTCCACAATTTTGCATGTTTTCACGTTCAGTGTCCTAGAATCATAGAATGTTTATGTTTCGTGTCTGAAGGGACCCTAAATATCATTTAGAGTACAGAGAGAGCTGGCAGAACTGCTTGCCAAGTCATCCTCCATCCTTTACCATCAGTCTTGGTTAACCAGGGAGGTCCCAGATGACTGGAGGTTGGCAAACGCGGTGCTCATGTACAAGAAGAGTCAAGGAGGATCCAGGAAACTACAGGTCTGCCAGCCTGACCTTAGTGCCAGGGAAGGGTATGGAACAGATTATCTTGAATCTGACCACCTGGCATGTGCAGGACAACCAAGGCATCATGTCCAGCCAGCACAGGTTTAGGAAAGGTGGGTCCTGCTTGACCAAACCAATCTCCTTTTATGACCAGGTGACCCACCTAATGGATGAGTGAAAGGCTGTGGATGTTGTCGTTGTCTACCTGGACTTACAGTAAAGCCTTTGATACTATGTCCCACAGCATTCTCCTGGAGAAGCTGACATCCCACTGGCTTGGACGGCTGTGCACAGGGTTAAAAACTGGCTGGACGCAGAGAGTGGTGGTGAATGGAGTTACACCCAGCTGCTGTCTGGTTACCAGTGGTGTTCCCCAGGGCTCAGTAGCAGCACCAATGCTGGTTAATACTTTATGGACAATCTGGATGAGGGAATTGAGTGCACCTTCAGTAAGTTCACAGACAACACCAAGTTGGATGAGAGTGTTGATCTGCTGGAGGGTGGGAAGGCTCTGCAGGGGGATTTGGACAGGCTGAATCGATGGGCCAAGGCCAATGGTATGAGATTCAATAAGACAAAGTTCCGGGTCCTGCACTTGGGTCCCAACAACCCCAGGCAGCACTACAGGCTGGGGATGGAGTAGCTGAAAGTGTCCCAGCAGAAAAGGACCAGAGGGTGCTGGTCAACAGCAGCTGAACATGATCCAGCAGTGTGCCCAGGTGCCCAAGGCGGCCAGTAACATCCTGGTCTGTATCAGCAATAGTGTGGCCAGCAGGACCAGGGCAGTGACTGTTCCTCTGTACTCGGCACTGGTGAGGCCACACCTCAAATCTTGTGTTTGGTTTTGGGCCCCTCACTACAAGAAGAACATTGGAGTTGATGAAGCACGTCAAGAGAAGGGCAATGAATCTGTTAAAGGGTCTAGAGAGTAAGTCATATTAGGAGCAGTTGATGGAGCTGGGGTTGTTTAATCCAGAGAAAAGGAGGCTCAAAGGAGACCTTATCACTCTCTACAACTACCTGAGTGGCGGCCGTAGACAAGTGGGGGTCAGCCTCTTCTCCCAAACAACTGGAGATAAGACAAAATGGCCAAGAGGACAAGATAAAATGGTCTCAAACTGTGCCACAGAGGTTCAGGTTGGACCTCAGGAAGAATTTCTTCACTGAAAGTGTAGACAAACACTGGAATCGGCTGCCCAGGGAGGTGGTGGAGTCACCATCCCTGGAAGTGCTCAATATACAACTAGATGTGGCACTTAATGTTATGGTTTAGTTGACATGATGGTGTTCAGTGAAAGGTTGGAATCAACGATCTTGGAGGTCTTTTCCAACTTTAATAATTCTACAATTCTATGACCTAGTTCCAAGCCCCGTGCCATAGGCAGGCTTGCCACCTACTAGACCAGGTTGCCCAAAGACCCATTCAACCTGGCTTTGAACACTTCCAGTGATGGGGCATTCACAATCTCTCTGGGTGTCCACTGTAACTCACTGTAACTCACATGTCCTACCTCTTGCTCTGGAATACTGGACCACTAAAGGTATACTGGAGTGAGAGACAAGCTGGAAGTATAACAACTGACAGGGTTATACAGGACAAGCCTCTTGAAATGCAGGCGGTTTTTAACTGATGTGAGTTGTATGAAAAGCACAGTGTATGTACTTCACACTTCACGTGGTTTTCAAACATAACCCATAAGACATACACTCATTGTAAAAAGTGTGGGTTGTCTTCTAAATATGAAACTGTGTCTAGAAATAATGTATGTCAGAAACAATTTGTGAAAAATTACAAGCTTCTTGCAGAGACGTCTCTGGTTCCACTTGATGAAGAGGGTGGATTTTGCTCCCCAGCCTGTAGAGATGACCACCACCCATCTGTGTCTCAGAGAGTCCCTAGGGTCTTTGGGAAGCTGGATTCACCTGCCCTCTTTGACATCTCTTCTGTGTCATCCTGAGCTTCCTCCTAGTCTTTGTCAGGCGCTCAGCAGGAGGCTGGGATGAGAATCTTCCAAAGAGAAGATTACTGCTCTTGCCTGCACTATTCTTTGTGATTATTGCTCTCCCAGTTTGTGTGCCCTCCCAAGGATCAGCAGATGTATCAGAGGAGGGCATGACAGGGCTGTAGACAGGAGAAGAGTGAGGGACAACAGTGGGGCTACCTAAAGGCTACTAGACCCACACACTGGTGAGCTGGGTACAGGACAGGCCTGAGTAAAGCCGTCAGCACTGGGACTGAAGCAGGCAGGTATGGGATGAGGCTGTGCCAGAGACCTGACCTTGATTTGAATCCTGAACTGCAAAGTCCCGAGGAATACGAGGTCTTCCTACCGAACCTTTGGGTGAGGAGCAGGAATAGGAGCGTGACCGAATCCCAAACACCGTGCATTCCTACAAGAATTGTAACAAATTAAAACTTTGTCGTTTTGAAATGCATCAGAAACAGAAACAAAAAAATCAGCAACAAAATTTCTGAAAGAAAGGCAGTTGATCAGACACATACACTTTTCGGGTTTCATTAAATCTTTGAGTTGAAGTAAAATTTTTGATGACTTCATGTTGATGCCTTAAGCCCCTAATGGTTTTTTATTTTTCTAATATTTGTAAGACTTATAAGTTTTATAAGTAGTGGAAGTAGATTTTAAAAGCAGCACCCCCCCTTCTTTGTCCCTTGTCCCTTTCCCTTTCTCCAGCACCCTTGTTTATACATTCCTTAACCCTCTTACCCCATTCTATGCTCCCTATATCAATCCTACTCCTGAATACAGCAGAGATGTTTAGTCGTTTGTCAAGGTAAGGCCTAGATTGTTGGCAGAACAACATATCAGGGCCTAAACCACAGAATACAGTCAAGAATTAGGTAACTATGTACCCTTTGTGCTCTGATGATGGTGAAGATGGGATGAATGGGGGGTCCCGAAATACACCCCAGACCCATTTTAAGGGGGTGGACCCGGGGCGGACCAGAGTAAAGGCCACAGGGTGGACACATCTGGGATTGGATGGATGGTATTATAAAATGTAACCTCTCAAGCACGGCCTGCGCGTGTCGTGTAACATCTTAGCGTTGGCAAAATAAACCCTTTCTTATCTCACCCCTAATTAACTGCTCTGGAGATTTTTTCAGCATCAAAATTCCACAGCAACAATGTGAATTCTTAGGAAGTCTGTCATATTTCCATCACAATATATTTTTGTATGTTAGAGGAAATGACTTGTGGGTGCAAGTTAGACTAAGAGAAAGCTTACATTCTTCTCCAGTTTGGTGACAGGTCACATCCAAAGAGTGTTGTTGGCCATTATATCTGATGATGAAACTATCTTCTTTTACCAATGGAGGCATTAATCTTAGTACTTTAATACCTCAAACACATTTCATGGAGACTAAGGCCATGCCTTGATAATTACTAATGTCAGAGCTTCCAAAGAAAGGAGTTGACCTCTTTCCCTTTCCTCTGTGTTGTTTGCTTGATTTCTTTTATTACTACTGTGTATGAAAACATTTTCCAATCCCCAAATACGTCAACAGTAAGGCTTGAAAGAAAATCCCATAATTTTTGATGTACCATTTACATTTCAACAGAGCCTACTCCTAAAACTCCTGTAAAGTGCTCATCTTACTGTTTTTAAAAGTAGCCCTGACAGAATTCAGTGTTTATGCTGAACTCTTTTTCTCCTTCATGTAATCATTTGCTAAAGGTCAGAAAAAGTTCTACAGTGGCAACAAGTGTGTCTAAAAAAACCATAAAAAATCTCTACAAATTAAAAATAACTCTATATGTGTCTGAAGATCTCAGAAATGGTACCATGGTCTAACGAAAGGTAACGTAGACAGGATACTTCAGAAAACCATAACAAAGAGGAGATATTTGCATTGCTCAATGTATAAAACCCAACTGAATTTCCCTGAGTGTAGAAATTTTTTTAAAACAGGCAGTAGGACAGTTCTACACTTTACAAAGCTGTTACTCTTTCACATAACTACAGCTGGTTAAAAATTTCCTCACTAAATATCTTTGTTAGGAAATGCTGATTCACTGAACCTGAGACATTTCCTTTTAAATACTTTCAATGAATGACAGTTTTTTTTGAACTCGAAGCAACATCTCATGCACCATTTCCATAGCTGCTGTCCAGCCCAGCCACAATCAGGGAGTTTCAGCTTCACAACCCTGTATGAGTGGTCTCTGGTGACACTAGCAGTGCCAACTGGGAACTCATTTTTCCTCTTCAGATTCAGATATTTCTCACATAGTTTCAGTGATTTACTTAAAAGGAAAACAATTCAAACCAACACAGTATCAAATACCTTGGGCTGCAGACTGGTAGATAAGTCTAATCCATCTCTGCTAGAAGCCATGGCCTCTGAAGAGCCGGGGGGAGGGTAATAAACATGGGATCTGTCCAAAGCACCTCCACTTCCACCATCTACTTCGAGGTCATCGAGACTTGAACTGAAGCAGACAACAAAGTCTTTAATTTCCCTGAATTTCTCATAAACAATTTATCTCAACCTTAATGTAAAAAGCAAAGATACTGCTGAATGCTCTCATCAATGACAATCCAAACCATCATCATTACGTCAGTTAAGTCGTGCTCTGAGGCCTCTCTCAGGTCTGCAATCACCTGGACAAGGTACTCAGTCACTCTACAGGACTCCTCTGACTCAGTCTTGTAGATCAGCAGTGCAGATGACAATATCACCGACGATCTTGCAGACTCCCACCACAGCCAGCCATCTCTGAAGGACGACTTTTAGACCCATGTTCAGCATTTCCCTTAACATATAATGTTTTGTTCCACGCATGCACCTGCCCCTCTATATAGATGATAATAAGAACTAAGACAACAAGCAGAATTGAGACAACTAGCTCAGATTTCAGTATTAAGATACATGGGTATAGATGGACATTTTGTGCATTTTTATATTTGAAGGATATGATGTGGCTGTTCACAGACATATTTTTTTCTACATCTCTGACTTTACAATGGAGGATAAAAGAGAAAAACAACAACAGAGATGAAGCAGGGTCTAAGACAGTTTATAAGATTCATTTCAAAAGATATAAATTTAAAAACATATAGGACTACAAACAGACTGAAAAATCTCTGGCTAAATCAATACACCAAACAACTAGAGACTACTTGATTGGTAAGAGTTCCTGAGCAGAAGAGTGTCCTAAGGTTTCTCAGCAGTACCAGGGTTTCCCAGGATGGGTCCTGTTACCTGCAAGACCAAGTTCATGGTCTCTTGATCAGAGTAACTGGAAGGAATGGTTGACTGCTTGCAATAACATTCCAACCTTCAAACATAAAACTTTAAATTATGTGTGGTATTTCTAAATAGCCAGGGTTCCTACCAAGAATAATAGCATAAAAATTCCTTCACACACCGCTACTTTGTTGAAGCACAGATCTATCAATACTGTCTGAAACTGCTTCCTTATTACAAATCTAAAGACAGTATTTCACAATGTTGCCTAGTAATAGCCCATGTGATGTCTCAGAAGCAAGTTATTAAAATGCGTTATCAGTTACTGTCACAAGTTAAAATTGAAAAGGCAATACAGACAAGTATTCATGACTTATTGGAGGTAACTCACTCAGGGAATTTTTCTGACATAAAAAGCTGGTTTAAAAATAGAATTACACACTGGTAGTCTTATTTTATATGTAATATTTGTATCACTCACATGTCATATGACATATTAAGCCCAATTACATGTGTCTGGAAATTCATATACACTCTTAAAGTTCTGATACAGGTACCTGATCTAGGTCTTCAAAACAGTGGGAGTACCTAAAAAAAGTATAGGATAAAAACACTTCTGACTAGAGGCAGAGAAAGCTTAGATCATGTAGATTACTAGAGGAAGAGTAATCTGCATGATATCCCTATAGTTAGCAAAAAAAAAAAAAAAGAAAAAGAAGACTGGGAAAGAAAAAATCTTCGTCTGACACTTACTGTGTTATCTATGTTGAAGACTCCTCCTAGTGGGACCTTATAGTTGCATAAGAAACTCAAAATGAAGGTAGAGAAAATTTTATTGCCCACTTTAATTAACAATTGGCTGACACTACTGCTTCCCTATTGTTTTTACATAGATCTGATATGTTTTTACATATTTAAATTTTAAATTAATTGTTAAAACCCAATTGTTAAAACCAAAATTATAGTTTCATCTTCAAAATTCCCTGAATTTTGGAAGCCAAGTTCTCACCATAAGCTAAAGCCATTTGGAAGAGGCTCCTTAGACAAACGGCTCCGTTGCCAACAATCCTTGTGTACCAGCAATGGAGCAGAAAACAATCTGAACCTATCAGAAACAGCTGTACTCTGCACTGTGTCTTTTGAGATAAAAAATATATATGCAATCAGAAATAACTTGGTCCTCCCACAGGCCAAGGCAAAGAATAGAAAGATTCTCACAGAATTCCACAAATTTGGGACTATTTTCTTAATGGAAAATATTACTATGGAAAACCATAGTGAAATTCTGGTTTCTGACAAAAATGACACAATGGCAGTGACAGGGTTGATTGTTTTTTTGTAAAGAGTACGTGCATACAAGGAAAAAAAGGTATAAAAGTATCCATTTGTATGGACAATTTTATTTGTTAAAAATGTCTTCATAGCTATTTTATGAAACAGATCATTAGGACAATAAATATCAGTGATGTATGCTATCAGTGATGTATGGCCAGTCTTCGTGGATGAAGATTTGGGAAAGGTCAGTACCCTTCGAGCCTGCACAATGGATTTTTTAGGTGAGACACAGTGTGCGCTGAACTGAGCCCACCCTTTAATCCTGAGGTTCATCTGCCGGGGCCGAGCGAGCTTGGACAGTGGCAGTGAGGTCCTCAGGACGTAGGTTTGTTTAGAGTGACCTTCTCTTAGATGGATGGCCTTACAGGGCTGACGAGCTCCATCTGCCCGGGGGAGTTCCCTGACCAGGAATCAAACCTAGCCTGCGGTGGTGAGAGTGCTGCATCCTAACCACTAGACCACCAGGGGGCCCCTATATCAGTGATACAAAACAGCGATTTTACCTCAGTAAAAATATTTATTACTCCAGATTCTGCTTCATCTTTTGAAATAAAAGGTGTTATAAATATTCCTTATTCTGGCCATATTATCAAGTCAATTCCATACCTTCTTTTCATGTCAGCATAAAGTTGGCCCCGATCCTTAATAAATCCATGGGTCTTGAATGGAAGATACAAATCTGCTACATGTAGATGAGAAGGTGAAATGGTATGTCTTAATCCTGGTCTTTGACTTCCTTCATTTGGAACATACGTATATTGATCATTCTCTTCAAGGGAGGGAGATGAAGAGCTCTTAGCCATCGGGACTGAGCTGGTGGGATTCAGACACATTTCACTGCTGACACCATCTCCAGTCTTTAAATTTCCAGTCTGCAGGTAAAAATGAATGCTGGTAAGAGGCAATAACAAGATGTACTGTCAGGAAACAAGAACCAGAGTAGTCTGCCATTTTATTTATGGGTATATGTTTTGTGGGGTTTTTCCCCTATTACTTTTTATACAACATGAATTGAAGGCAAGTTACATGGCTAAGAAATTCTAGACCTTTCATTACCTTTTTCCCTAATTGGAATAGCAAGGCATTACTATTTGCTATTACTATGCTATTACTATGAATTGCTATTACTGAATTTCTCCCTCATATCTACACCTTTTACTAAATGTACTGATGCACATACTTACAGATTTTATTAAAAGTAACCTTGAGTCAAGCAAAAAATATGCATAATACATTAGTGTGGGAGACAGATGGACAAAAATTCAAACACTGTGCAATGTTATTTGGAAAAATCAGCCTACAAATCGAGCAGTTTTAAAGTTTTAGCACCAGTTTCCTAAGCTTTGAGATAAACAAAAATGACCTGGAACAGAGTTTCTCCAGGGCAGGAAGGGAAAAGACTCTTATTTTTTGCCATTAAGCAATTATGGGCATGAAGCACCCCTCCTGTTGCACAAAGACAAAAATAGAGTTGGGAATTCTATTTTCTCAGGTACAGGGATTAGAATTTAGGCTCCGGTAACAATTCTTTGAATTCTCCTGTTGACTCTGTAGAAGATACTAAAACACGGTTCACTGTTAGTCTTTTAGGTAGACGCTACTGTCATCTAAACCCATACTGAGTAATACTGAAAAGTCACACTGCCAGTGAAAACATTCAATCTCTGAAAAGCACCTGCATAAAAGTAAGAATAAAGGAAGGATTGCAAGCATTTGCAAAGCCCTGGTCTTTCAGATTGCTGACTTCATCCTCTCCCATCTCTCTTGAGATGTGCTTTCATCTCCATCTTAATTATGTTTCTCTTAGTAGAAGACAGAGAGACCTGCTCGCATTTTTACAGTAGCCCACATTTTCATTCAAAGATATGGCACATGCAGATCTGGAAATAATCCTGTTGCGCTGTGCAGATGAGATGCACAATGGTAAAATGCTTTTCCCAGGTCTTACGCAGCTGTTCCTCCCTGTAAAGCTATTCCTGCCTGGGCAGTGTTCCCCTTCAGTACCAGAGGGACCTTCTCCAGCAGCCACTCTGGCTCCTACTGAGTAGTGCTTAAGGGAGAACTTGGCCCAAATCAGCAATCCAACAAAGTTTAATGTGGCCACATATTAAGCAAAGGTTAGCAATCCAAGCTGAAGGACCCCTGAGTAATACACCTGGGTAACATACGCATCTGTAATGGAGATGCAGTCCTGTGGCTCTGTCTTTCCAACCTCCTTATTCAAAATCAAATGTACATTATAGTCCTCCTGACAGTTGCTCACTCCTCAGTCATTATTACATGCATTTCTCTAAAACTTTCAGTGCATTTTGAACACACTTGGCCTCTGACTTAAGCTTCCATCTCAGCTGTCACAACAAACTGGATCTACAGTGAATGCAGTGGGTGAAGTGTTTGAGGGAATGGGAGTGGGAGGGGAGACAATAAAAAGAAAGAAAAAAATCACACTTGTAAAATCTCAGACTTCTAATATTATGATCTGGTAATTTCTTACTCTTATATTCCATCTTTCAGCCCAGGGAGAGCCCACAGCAAGCTACAAATAAATAAATCACTTAAACCATCACTGAAAAATAGCTATGTGCCACCAGAATCTTGCATCCGTTTAGCTAGACACAACCAGGAGTTAGACTAGTTTTCCCTGCCCAAATTATGATATCTGAGTGTGACCATGGAGGATGATTTCACATGCAGCACGGTGATGTCAAATGCAATTTGCTCTGGACACTTTGGGTCATCTCCAGTGTTGGTGACAAATCAGAAACACGAATACTAAATCAGAATCTCCTGACTTTTCCATGAGAGTTGCAGGACACCAACTTCATCTCTTCAGAAATATCTTATTTTTACTGAGCATATAAGGTTTGCTCTGAGCTTACAATTAACTTCTGAAATTATCCAGCAACATCAAATTTATCTCTACTATGAATGGACATAGAATTCAGAAATCAAAGTGCACACAAGTAAGTAATATGGTTGATGTTTCTTAGAAAGAAGCACACGCTGTTTAGCTCACCAACACACAGAAGAGAGTTGGAAGGGTTGCCTTAGGGTTCTCCCTCTAGGGAGAATAATTCCTGTCTTCAACTGAAATTGTTAAAAGGGATCTTATAAATAGGTTACAAAATACAGCTGAGAAGGGTAAGGTATTACTGGTTTTATTTTAGAATTTCACTAACTGACAACACACCACTGCTGGTTCATCCAGAATATCCTACTATTATGCAAATAAACAGAAGATGAAGAAAAATTTGCCAAAAGTTCAAATATAAGCTTACTTGGTCTACTACCATGCAGTTTGCATATACTTCATCACTTCCACTCAGCATGGCAGAAAGTCTGGTTGCAGCAAAGAAAGTAGGGGGATACTTCAATTTCCTAAGAAGATCAAGGGTAGAGTGTCTGTGCTCTGGAAAAAAAAAATGTGGAAAATATGGTATTACATCTCAAACCATTTCCTTCTCATGTATATATACTGTCATAAAAATGGCTAAGTCAAACATTAAGCACCAAATTTTAGCATTAAAATTTGAGCAATATTGGTAGGATCTCTCGAAAACCTGCTCATTCCATAATTGCCTAACAGTTGCTACAAGAAGCCTTTAGCTGACAAGACTCTAAAAGTTACCACAGAATCATTCATATACCATAAAACCAAGTGTTCTTGTACCTTGGTTAGCAAAAGCTTCTATTTTCCACCTAACCTAGAACTTTGCAGAGATTTGTGATTGCAAGAAGAAGACAGGGCAAGATTTATGGGCTGGGATGAACTATGCATAATTATTATACATTAAATATCTAACATCTGATACATTATATGACTGAAATACTGTTCGATTTCAGTCAAATAATGATTCCCCTAAAGCATTCTACCTATTAGCAGCCACATAAATACTAATCTTAAACCAGTAAATCAGATTACTGTTGTTAAAACAAAAAACACCAATAAAATTGCAAAAGGGATATAAATAAAATACTACTGATATTGCCTCCCCAGAATAACTGCTATCAATCAAGATTTGAACCATGAACAGGATGCTTGGGATGGATGCTGCATCTGCTCTGCTTTTGCTACTGATCAGTTTCACCAGAATCATTAACAGAAATCCAGAGTTTAGTTTTCAATAGTGTGCTCATGAATACAAATATTATAAAAAGCTGCATGGGTTGAATATTTAATGCCTTTGAGCAGCAGAAATCCTCTGCTCTGCAGGCCCACTTCTCTTAAAGCTGTTTGTAAGTATGAAGAGGATGCACCAATTCAGCATTTGACCTGGATTATCTTCTGATTGCAAAAGAGTAAAATTTTACAAAGTCAAAACCAGTCTTATTCTAGACTGTGTGAAAACAGGTTAAAAAAAAAATCACAACTGTAATCTAATTTTTGCCTATTTTAAGATGCTGTAAGTCAAGCATAGCAATTGGAAGTGAACTGAGGCAGACTAGCATAAGAATGATGTGACAGAGAAAAGTCTCATACCCAGAAAAATATCTAAAATCAAAACTTTCAATAAACCTAATTCAAGTTTATCTGTTATTGAATATTATTTAACAAATCCTTCTTAATCTGTATCAGAAATTTATTTTCTGCAAAGGTGTAAAGGAAAAGATACCTCTAAAGACTTTCCCCACACCATATTCCTAAAGCAACATAACTGCTTTTGGAAGATCACAGGGCCATATAGCATGGTTTAGGGTGAAAGAGAACTTAAAGATCATCTAGTCCAATCCCCCTGCCATTTACTAGATCAAGTTGCTCAAAGGCTGTCCAAGATGCTTATAGCCACCATACTGCAAGAAAATTCATAATGAAGAAACAGAATTGGATTAGAAACTACACTTATTATGGTCTGGGGTATTTGTTGCTTTGAAAAAAAAAAAGTCCCAGACTATGGCCAAATCTACAGTGCTGCACACCGCAGCTTTTATTTAATTTTAAGATGCTATCACATAAAGCCCAAGAACAGTAAGTTGTAAAGCTTTCCAAGGGTTGGTCTTAAACCAAAAACCACCCAGAAAAAAATGTGAGGCTCTCCATTTCTTCTTCTATGCTTACTACCTACCCTAGCCTGTGTTCCCACTTGTGTATAAACCCACTGGGTACAGCTGGCAAGGGTGGTGTACAGCTCCAGTGCTAGGTTGCAAACTTTCAATGCACACCCCTGAAAAACAGCCCAAACATCAGGGATTCCCTCATCATGGTGTAAATCTGAGTCTAAGGAGGTAGTTTCTTGACTTCAACAAGAGTCGCCACTGCTGGGATGTATTAGCCTAGAAGATAAAGGGGCTGATGTGTGTGTCTCAAACACTGGTAGCTGGATGGTTGTGGAGACAACCAAGGATTGTTGGTAATAAACACTGTGAGACAGAACAGGATGTGGCTGGAGAGGGGGGCCATAGGAAGTAGGGCAGCACTTTTCTGGAACAAATATTCTGGATCCTGGAGTCAAACACAATACAGTGCAGAGCAGATGCAGAAATGAGATTAAGAAACAGATATGGACCATAGGGGAGGATCAAGACCACCCAAGAACCCCAAAGCCCTCCCATCCATTTCCAGAAAGGTCTAGAAGAATGGACTGTGCATGATAACTAATTTGTATAGAAAGTAAGAAACTTAGCTCCAGGGTGGGGAAAAACCTATCTATAAAAAAGAACCCCCACAACCTGGACATCCCATCAGTTGGATCCATTCTGAAGTCAGGACTGTCGATTTCTCTTTCTCCCTTCCTTTCTTTCTCTCTCCCCCTCTTTCATTCATCTCCCTCTCTCTCTCTTCCCCTACACTCTACTCCTTTACCCAAAACTCACTGCTATGCACTTATAGGAGGAGATCAGGAACTAGTTTACAACAATTTCATGACAAGATTGTAATTTACTAATAAAACTTCATAAGCTTTTTTGGAGTCTCAGAGGTTTTCCATTCATTTTGACCATGAGCATCTATGAGCATCTTGGATGTTCACTTCCCCTTGAGGGTGGGATGCCACATTGGGTCTCCACAGTCACTTAGTTAACTGCTCAATTAATTACACACACCAAACCAGAAACAACACAAATTCCCCTATTACTTCAGATTTTGATTTATATATATATAGCAACTTCTAATAATGCATTTTATATTATTTTAAAATTCTGTAAGAGAGTAACAGCCTAAGTAACAAATTCTGGAGAAAACTACTGCAAATACAACAAACTATATCAGAATATGTTATCTGCAGTATTTTCGGTCTGTAGATCTTTACAGCTTATCACTGTTAAATGCTGTATGTTTTCCTGGCAATATTCCAGTTAGTCTATTGTTAAAAGTGAGATGTCTAAATGAGGTTTATTCATTGGGGTTTAAAATTAACAGATAAAAGCTAGCAAGTTATCTTGGGCTTCACAGAGTCATAGAATAGTATAGGTTGGAAAAGACGTTCAAGATCATTGAATCCAATGGCAATATCACCCCGCCGTACCTCCTTACTCCCACTCTCCCCCCTCCATTTCAAACGTGTGAAGGGACGACTACATCAAACTAACTCTGAAGCACAAGAAGTATTTAAAGACTTTGCTGAATGCAGAGGAGAGCAATATTAATTGCACATTGACTGTGCTAGTAACTTATTTTCACCAGACAGGCCCACATAGGTTAAAAAGTGACAAAACTCTCACAAATGTCTGTATCACATACTGCATTCCTACAGCCTCACTAACTTTCTCCAGCTCACCCTGCTGACTACACGTTCTCTTGATCTTACAGTGACCATCAGCAGACCTTCCCCACCAGGTTAACGTTGGCAGAATTATAGCTTGCAGTGCTGGATATCAGTAATAATATACAGCAAGATTGTCCTTGTCTGAAAGATGAGGAATATTAACAAAATACATCTTCCAACAAAATGTCTCAAAAATTTCCCCTAGGCATTCAAACTGCTTATTCTCATTGCAGATGCAAAAATTCAACACAGCTTGTGAAAAGACAGACAAGATTGCTAGAGTAAACTGGCGATGGTGTTCCATAAGATTTTTGGCTCTGTAAGGTATTGGAAATGCACTTCAAGATGCTTACCAAGGTAAAAGTTACCTGAACACAACACAGCAGAAATGGCTTTGCTACTGAAACAACCTAGCAAGCACAGCTCACCAAGCTGATCCTCCTGCCAGAGCTGAAGGCTTTCTAGTTCTATACTGTGATCACAGAAAAAGAATAAAACAAAGACATGCCTCCTTTAGCAGAGCTTGTGGCTTTCTGCCATCTGCCTGATAAACAGTCAAGAAAGTTGTATGCGTTATTCAGATGCAGTGTTGGGAAGAATAATCTCCAAACTTGGATAAAATAAAAGACTTGACCAACAAATAACTAGGCACAAGTTCTCTACGTCTTTTGTAATGTTGTGGAGTTATACAGCAAATGCTGCACATTTTACCAGGCACAAAAGCTTATACTTTAACTTTTTATACTTTATAGTTTAACTTTAAAAAACACATGCTCATCATAGCAATAATTTAAAGCATGCTTTATGTTGGCATAAGAAAATGTATAGCCTTGAATGACCTGTGTCAGAAAATGGCAAGAACATAACACTCACTGTTTTCTCACAAAAATCAAAACTTAAATCTTTCTATTGGAGAACACAATAAAACAGCAGTGAAATTCATCAACATGATCCAGTCAAGAGCCAGGAAAGAGATTACAAATTACCTTCTCTAGATACAATGAATAGTTTTCAGACAGCTCATCATATTTACCCCCAGCAATTTGAGCAGAGGTTAATATATAACTGGAAGTCAATAAAAGACACAGACAGTTAAGCACATGGATCATGTGGGACTGCAGAAATACTGCTCTAAATCCAGATGTTACCTGAATTTGACGAAAGAAGTCCACATGTTCCTAGCAAGGGGACAACTGAAGTGAAACGCATGTCTGTAGATGTGGATCATACAACCAGTTTCAGTGGGGGATCTGCACCCCTAATTCAGGTGTTTTAGGTCTTCATTCAGACAGTGCAACTACCCATGATAACAAAATTAAGCAAGTACATAAGAATAACACCACATGGAAGGTAAAGCAAGGTGGACATTAAAGTGCTATTGTCATAAAAATGAAATTTAATTGTCTTAAATCTATGAAGCAGAAACCAAAGTACTGTATTTTCTTTATAACGCATGAGGAGGATGAGGCATACAGATGATAGAAAATTATGCCATCATGTTCAAGATGTGGTCCAAAAGTTTCCACTAAGAATAATGGCACTTGTCAATCATTGACATTGATCTTGGTCACCTAAATGCAGGTTGTAAGAAAGCATCCATTTCCAACATGGGATTCACAGTCCTGACTCCCTCCCTGAAGCAGGTACCTGACCTACTATACAAATGAGTATAGAAACAGAAATAAGTTGGTGTCTCATTTTATGCAAC